CAACTAAAATATATATGCTTATGTTTTCACTTCTCAAGAACTCATTTTGTACTTCCGTTTGGATTTGGTTTTGGTTCTGTATAACAAATTCTTTTCGGTTATTCTTGGTTTCGACATAGACGTGTCGCCAATGTAGATCAACGTAAACCTTAAATGTATCTAAGCGTTGACGTCGCCTCTTGATAGTTTCGTTTCCTTTAAGCGACCCAATCATATATTTAGTTTGTTTCATTTGTTAGTTTATCCTGTAACTTATGGTTTGAATTGGATTGGCATTTTGAAACTATTGAGAGACGTGTACCAAAATTATTTCCTACTTAAACCATTCTGAGTATTGTGTATGATGTGCGTACTCTTGACTACTCTCTATCTATCTTGTTGTACTTGTAAGTTCCATACATTCTATTCTATTTGAACGCCAATCTTCAATTATAACTATGTACTATCTACCACTAAACACATCTTTCTCTAAATTTGTTTAGATTTTCAGTTCTCTGGGCTCATCAGCGCTCATTTTGCACGTTTTCAGTTATCTCTTATGTTGCCTCGAACCGAGTAATCCGATAAATCAGGTCGGTGGGGAGACCTAAGTAGGGGAGGCGATACGATTGGCTAAACTTATGCAGAGAATATTTTTTTTTTACTTTGTACATCTTTTGTATGCCATCTACCCATTTTGCATTGTATTAGCCCTTGAAGAATCAGTGATTGGTGTTTATTATTATGTGTTACATAATTGTAATTGTCTATATAGTCCTTGATATCGAAGTCGTAATCCGTATATATATGTATATTATGCAAACAATTTTAAGCAATTAAACATTAAACGATAAAATGCATATTACCAAGCTAAATTTTGTACGTAAATGTTAGACATATATATATAAAAGAACGTACACACACATATACATATGACAAATTCTTTCCGTATTTTGAATGGCGTCCATTGGAAATACCAGGCGGGCAATTCGGTATAAATGTATTTTTTGTTTGTTCTTTGTATACATTGATAATATGTTTGTGTATGTGTATGTGTGTGCCACAGTAAAAAAAAACATACTTATAAAAATTTAAACAAAGTTCATATATATATATATACAAGGCCATATTCATACATAAACTCTGCCTTTCTCTTTATCTCTCTCTCTCTCTCTCTCTGTCTCTACCTCTTGAAACAGTTATGTTTCTATAAATGTTGTAGTTCTTGAAAAATATACTTATATTTATAACTCCTTCTACATAAATACATACATATACAAACTCCTACACATGATATTTTTTTATGGCAATCATTATGTTTGATTTTGATTTCTCAAAGCTCTTCTCTTCTATGTTTTCAATCACAACAAATACAATTAACAATATACATAGTATAAACAAGCAATGAAATAATTGAACAAAAAAAAAAAAAAAAAAAAAAAAAAACGAACGCGTATAAATATAATAAAGAGCGACATCAATCACAAAAAGGAACAGCCTGATATACATAAATATACAGACAGAAAAAATTTATTACATACAATAGCATATACCTATGTATATACAATACATACACATATATTTACACACACAACTCTCCACATTACAACTACAACAGCCAATCAATAAGCCTCTCTCTTCCGTATTATCTCGTACATTGTGTGTGGATGCCCCGAATCGAATTGAACCGAATCGAACCGAATCGAACCGAATTGACTTGATTTATGTTCTTATAGTTTTGCTCTTCATACACCTTCAATCATTTAGATGTATGCTCAGTTGCATACACAAACACATCTGTAACCGTATGATATATGATGTAAACACGAAGTTTAGGTTTGAATCGAGTAATGGTTGGTGCAGTTATTATATATTAGCATATAGAGGACAATAACTCACTTCCTGCAAGATTGAACCACCCTAGGTGACTGCGTCCAGTGCTACTGACTGTTTTTATCGTCGTCGTCGTCGCAGTGTACAGGCCAGCAAGTCGCTGTACTCACAGTTAGTGTTACTCAATCCGTAAGCTAATCCGCTTCCGCCATCCGTACCCATGTCCCTCCACACACCCGCATCGATGATAAATAAATCTCAAATCTCTCTCTCTCTCTCTCTCTTTCTCTATCTCTCAATATAATATCTGTAACTATCCTCTCCTGTTTACTAATCACTGATTAAAACCAATTATTTAATTCACTCACTTAATCGCCAACATTCTATCCATTAATGGCACAACACTGAAAAAAAACAGCATATCTGCAGAAAAGGAATTTTTTGTTTTGTGTAAATGAAAAAATTAAAACAAACAAAAATCTGATTGTCATGTGCTTAGACGCTCATGAGCAGCAATTATATGGATATGTAATGATGAAAATGCGTGGCCATGCATCAAGTTATTAACTTTTCACCAAATTTTTCACACAATTTCTGTTATGAAAAATTACGAAAACAAGCAATATAATAAACCTGTTTAAAATTATCACTATTTGTTCTTAGCAGCAGTAAAAACACAAGAACTAATGCAATTTAGTTAATCGTTCCTTCGATCATTTGTTTGTTAAATGCAAGTTCAATTCTTAGTTAATCTTTCCACACCTACAACCACCACCCACCAACCATACGATTACTTTTTTGACACAGTAGCGGTTACTTTTGGATCATTACCGTGCACCATCATCTAACACAGATCTACGTAGCAACCCACAATCTCAGCATATCTCCATCATGGCCAGCAAACTATATAGTATGAAAAATGTAATGAATGGAAAAACTTAATTTGCAGTCTTATTAAGCAGTAAAAAAAGTTAATTTAAAATTAACCACATCTTAAGCTTCCTATGTATATACGTATTAACGCAATTTACATTTGTTTGACAGATATCGAAATGCGGCTATGCACAGAGGATGCAAGCGCGATTCCGATTATAATAAATGATATCGATCGAGCGATAAATGAGTATTGGATTCTTCTGCCTTTCTCATTAGGCCATTTTACCAAAACTGTATAAATGTAACAACATTTAATACCAAAAAGTATATAGTAGCATATTTTATTTATTCTATCTATATCAGGAAAAGAGGATGCTTGCATTCCTGAAGTTATTTTGTCTAATTTCTCTTCCACAACATTTCTTGTCATAAACAGACAATAAAGTCAACAACTTTTCTTATATAGAAAGGATATTCTGTGAAGTGGCTTGACTTTTATTTACTTACTTTCAAGTAAAATAAACCGATTGAAGTTCCTTATGCTGCAACAAAAATTGAACTATAGTGCTATGAAAAGGCTTAGGAGTAACTGTGTGTGGGTAATGCGTTATGAAGAGGTTGAGGGCTTGGGGTTCACACCATATACTGATAAACTCATACTTATACTGATGAAGTACTAAAAAACTTATTCGATAATATGAAAGCATACATCTAATCAGTATATGTACATCGAAGCATGGTTTGTATGATGCGGTTCGATGCTCCACTTACACCAAGATGATGCATGATGACGTAGTTAGTGCACCCCACATTCTAGGTACTAAAGTATGATCGCCCGGTTTGCCTGTCTGCCTGATTGCATGCCTGTGATAATATATGAATACATTTACATATATAAATAGCACCCCATATGTAGTTGGTAGACATGAATTGGAATGAGCGTAGTGTATATAGAGAGCTACTTACTTAATAACAAGAAACCAAAAGAGATTGAAAAGTTTACTCGATGCTTTACTTGATGCATGTAAGTTGAATATATAACAACGATGTGCGTAGATAACCGTATGACTAATTTTGTTTACCTTACTACTTGTATTACATTTTTTGTTCCATTTCGAAAATGCACTTGCAAAGTATGCACTGCCAAGAACTGCTGCTTTGCATATGCATAGCATTTGAGCCAAATTATTTGTTGCCTTCGCTTTCATTTGATGATTATTTAAACAAACTACTGGGGTAGCAGACTAAATAAATGCATATTGCAGTGTTTGTTCATTTTGTTGTTTAATTTTTATGATTTTCATTGATGATTTTACTTCAAATGGATTTCTACATGTATACAAGTTTTACTTTAATACCAATAATATTAAAAATCTATATAACATGAAAAGTAACAACGAGCAGTTGATAACGAAGCAAATAATATAAAAGTATAAATACATATAAACGATTATGAAAATACAATACAAACCTACTATAAATACTCATTACTATACTATATACACCTAAGTACACGCATTCATTAAATACCACAGAAACACACACTATACATACACATGTGCATACCTATATACTCGTACATATTTTATCTATCATACACAATCGCTCTCTACTATATATAAACATACATACATATATATTTGTAGAAGAAATAACATAACAGGAGGCAAACAATTTGGTTCCTAATTGACGTTCAAAACGAAGAGGTTCACATTTCTGAAAAGCATAATCTGCTTTATCTGTTTATCTATAAGAAATGTATGTATATATTTATAGTATATAAAAGGCTTTTAACACAACGCATTGTATGTGTATGAAAGTCTTTTATCAATTACAAATGTATGACATACAACTAAATCTGTAAAGTAATTATCTGATGGATGCGTTAATTCATTTTTTTGGTCGTAACAAGGCGATCTTGCGATACAGCTGTCTGGAGCTCCTGAAGCAGACCAGTGAGAGAAAATGCCCGCTTATGTGTGGGGAAGCGATATTTTTATTTTAATTTTGAACGCCATTATGAACCAAACCTCATTTGCCTCTCACCAAAATTCAGTGTTGTTTGATATAAAAAAGATAAATATGTAATAAAATTTGTTGTGTTATACGACACTCACACTAACACACACGAAAACATAACTACTACTTAAAATCGAAACTTGCACAGCGCTTGATTAATGCATCTTAACTTATACCTAAGAATATTTGTTGCTTACATTCATTGTCTATGATGGCTATTTACTAATGAGGTTTCTTTTCTATGCCACTCGCACACACACACATACACACATTCTCCTGTACCCAACTCGCAGACATATTGTGGTATGTGGACATATAACATACGAATCCGTGTCGCATTTCCTGAAGGACTTTCTGCACGAAGATCGTGAAGATGTCGATGTCGAGGTCGTCTTTTTACATCGGTAAGTCGTGAAAAGCCTTGATTTCAGTACTTTGTTATTCGTGTTGTTGATTTGATGTGCCTTTATTATTTGAATATTAGTTTTCAAAGTACTTTGTGTGTAAGCATTTATGATTTTGTGTTATTGAGCAACTACAACAACAAAAAGAACAACTATTTAGTGCAGTATTTAAGAAGAGAGTAAATACTTAAGGCGAGCAACTGTACCACAGGAGCCCATGTTGGCCCATGTGCGGCAGCTGCTGGCCAGCACTTATTGATGTAGTATCAGTATCCCGATCAGCTAAGTCTATGAATAAATTAGACGGAGGCACTTATTTAAGTATTTCAATTAATTTAGTAATTAGTAAAAGGCACTAATGCATAAAGAATTTTATTAAACAGAAGGCATTTCCATATTAATCCTAAATCTTAAACTTAACTAAATAACGTAATGCAATATTAGCAAAGAACCTGACCTGGAGCTAGAGGGACTGCTGAAGCGTCACTATACAACAGTGGCCTTTTTTCAGGGCACTATGATGAATGCAGTCGATCTGGAGCGAGTCAAGGTACACAAATACACACCAAGGCGCGATCTAAACTATACGACATACACACACACACACACACACACACACACACATAAATATATACATATAACGACATATAGACAGTATACGCACACACACACACAAACGCCAGACACACACACAAACACAAATGTACATGAAGACACTCAATCAGAGTTTGCATTTGCCCGAAGTTAGGAGGAAACGCTCCCTCTCTTTCTCTTTTCCCCCATCTCGCTCTCTTCACACATACTCTTACAACAAATCACAGTCAAATGATGCGCCATTTTGTGAATGTGCCTCACACATCTCACACATTTGTGTCCGTGCTTGTGCCCGGAGCAGGCCTACACGCCCACACAATTACTCGCAACTACTGACTATCGATAGATCTAACGCGCAAATCTATAGTCTTTCACTTGTGTCTGCAAATCTAGAGTATCTCATAGCCCGCAAAACCAATGGATTGTTACCGTTGCCAGCCCACAGCGACCTGCGAAACACCCCCTGTTCTCTCTCTCTGCTCGCTCTACTTCCACTCTTTTAATAAATTTTTCCTTTATTTTATTTTGTTGCAATTTTGAAGATTCTATAATATTCTTTCTACTTATGTATTTGTTTTGATATGCAGCTGCCGCTGAAAATATTTTGAATCGATTTTTAAGAAATTTCAAAGCTTTCAAAATTCAAAAGAAACAATAATATATTGAACAATAGTACCACTAGTTTTGGTTAAAATGTACAACTTAGTTTCACTTTCTTTCATACTTTTTTCGTTCACTTTGGCTTCAAGTTTATCAAACTGCTTATTTGGAATGTCCTCTTTAGCTGAAAATTACAGTTCTTAAAAGTGTTAACCATATAAACAATCCTTTTATGTCATACATAAATATTAGTTCAAACCAATAATATTTATTTGTCATACCCACACTTAAAGCTTCTCCATTTGAACTTCCACATATTTTTAGATGAAAGATAATGCGGACGCATATTTAACATATCGATCTTCCTTTTGAATTGTAGCACTTTATGCTTTAATTATCTCGATTTATCTAATCCGATTGATATGTATCTGTATACTTATATAACCGCCTTTAGTAGTGCAGCACATTGAAAAACTTTTAACAGGCATTTCAAATGCCATTTCAGTATATTCCATTCAACTTTATTAATGTTACAGTAAGGTGCCATAGTGATTTATATATTTATATACTTAATTAATAGTTAGTTAAGAAAATGTTACACCTAAGTATAGAAATGAGTAATTGAGGAAACGTTACCTTTTATATTTATTGATTTTGGTGTAGACCGTCCGACGACCTTGTAACGAGAGTTAGTTAGCATCTTCGGAATCGCCAAAGGTTTCTTACTTGCTAATATACTATATGTACAAAATTTATTTTCTCGAAAAGTTAGATTATTATAATTTAGTTATAAAACATTATACGCATTTGCTTTCGATGCACTCAAATTTTCACATTGATTTATTGTGTTGAGCCCCTATTCACGGAATTAGATTGGCAAGCTAATAATAAAGTATATTATTGAAAACTATGTCTTTGGTCCAAGGTGTACAAAAAGGGTGAATAGTAATGCACAATCTGCTTCTTGATAAACACACTGCTTCTTAGCTGTTGGCTCGCCAATCTTATTCCTGAGGGAGCCTTACTAGAACGACCACAAAATAAGAATTTGCATTTTTTTTTATTCTTTATTTTCATTTTCATATATTTGCCACCCACCTGCACAATTTCTGTAATGTGTGTATTTGTTTGTGTTACATCACACCGATAAAATAATAATTTAAAAAATACAACAACAACAAACCCACGTAAAATTTGTACATTGGAACAACAAAAACAACACGAAATACCACTCTAAAAAACCTCTGTATTATTTTCCCAAAAAAATGTATCGAAAATATAAAACCAATCCAAAAATTCTAAAGTAAACCACCCGATTTGGAACTTGAGGGTTTGTTCAAGCGTCATTTTACCACCGTGGAGTTCTTCCAAGGAACCATTATGAATCCGATTGATCTACAAAGGGTTAAGGTAAAATATTTTATTATTTTATGCGTTTCTCTATATTTTCGTCGAATGATTGTTTGTTTAATTGTTGATTCATTTCAAACCTTTCGTTTGTTCCTTTTCTGTTTGTTATTTTTTTGTTTTGTTTTTACAAGTATGTGTGTTGTATAAACAGTTACTATCTATACTCAGGCTTTAATAAAATCAATACAAGTATCAACACATATACCTTTTAACTAAAAGTGACTAAGCGAGTTGTACTGTACTACATACATATTATCATTTGATTGTAACAAATAACGAACGCTCTTATGTATTGTACTACTTAATACCTACTACCAACATGTATATGTATACTTACACGTGTTTATGTAAAAATAAAAACAATATCATTTAATGTTTATATGTATATGTAAATCATAGCTATCATATAAATGTCCTCATTATGCATTTGCGCGTTCTGTTTGTTCGCTTTGGTTTTGTTCTGTGCGTCGTACCAATAAACAGAAATCACTTTTTTCGTTGGTATCCTTTGGTGTTCTGTAACGCGTTAGGAGCAGCAGAATTAGAATACGCATACATACATACTCGTAAATCAAAATTCCAAAACGGATTTGGGTCCACCCACACCCGCCTACATACCAACACACCCATCTCCATACACACACTTAGTAATTGTTAATTGCTGTTGACGTTGTTGTGTATGCAAAGTGATTAAAGTTATTGTTTTAGTTTACTAAAACTGCATTACTTACCAAGTATCAGACATTGGTATAAATTACAATTGGCTTAACTTATAGGTATAATAATATACGGGTATACTATATTATAGATGTTAAGTTCTCATATCAATATTATTATATGTACAATGATTGAAATGATTTAAAAAAACTACTGTTCGATATCCAAATATTCAAAAAATAAAAAACTAGTTGAATATACTGAAAACATCGTCAGTATCAATGCAAATTTTGATCATATTCTTGATAGTAATACTAATATACGACCTAACATCAGGCGGAAAATGCGGTCGCTCACTCGGAAATATTTTATGTGCTTATAGATCAACCGTCATTTTGAATTTTGAAGAGATTTACTTAGTTATTAAGGCTTTACTTTCCGATTATGTTGTTAAGCGATAGGGTGTAGGTGCATTATGTATTAGAAAATATTAGAATGACTGTGTTGAAATAAATTTGGACCAGCGCCACAAATATTGAAGGAAATTAAGAATTAAAAAGACAACATTTTATATTTCGATTCATTCGCAAGATTCAATTTAATAAATGACAATAACAATGTGCATCGATGTGTTACATTGCATCATGATCCTATAACATTCAGAGATTTAGAATAATATGAACTCATCAGTAATAATCAGCATTTTTGTGCAACTAATGCAGGTCTTGAATTTTTAATTAATATACAATGGTTTTTCAAAAAGTCAAGACTTACAAAAATATAAGTTAGTCATAATGCGTACATTAAAAATAATTGCCACTCGTGGTACCAATTTTGTTGAAAAACTAACTGACCATACTTATAATAGAAATGTAAAAATATTTCCACACAAAACAATCTGCATAACTTTAAACTTAAGTAAAGTACTTCTTTTGTATTGAAACTCGTATAAGAATTAGTTTAAGCCTACCTAGTTATCGTTAATAATGATTACATATCAACAAAAAAACAATGTACTCGTGGTGTACAAGTGCTTTTAACGCGAATTATTTGAAAATCTTTTGTCGATGTTAAATTTGTTCAGGCACCTAAATACTTTTTATTAAAGGTTGCAAACTTAAACGTCCTGATTCGAAGCACATTTAAGATCCAAGCACTTGAGAGAGTCGCATCAACAAACAAACCATTTTCTGTTTATTTGGGATACTTTTCCTAGCAATAATAGAGTATAGCTTAATAAGAAAAAGGGCTTACAGGAAATTATTTATTTCCAAATGGTCCCTAGTGTTCGTCGACTTTTTGTTAGCCCATATTAGCTCGAGTATTTTGTGTAGGATCAACACATTTATGGAAACTTTGGTTAAGATTAATAAATAAAGACGTTATTATTATTCACAAAATGGGCCAATTGTTTTGTCAGCTATAAAAATTCCTGAGCGCTTTATTGACGGAAACACGGTCAGGGATATAACTACAGAGCTTCTCGTGCTGATTATGAATGTGCTACATCATGCCGCCTCAGAGACTTAACACACTAATGAATTGATTCAGGACACTAGGTGTTGATTTAAACGATGCCTGCCCTTGTGTTAAAGGATATAATGAAAATACAGAGCATTAAGCAAAATGGAAGCGCTATTTGATGTGAAGGACACCCTAAAGCTTATTACGTACGGCTGTAAAGCATAAAACGCAAAAATGCCTTTGTGCTTAAATTTATGTAGTGTACCGATATGCAGCAGATAAAAATAATTTTACAATTAACTCATACACTCACGAACTATTACTCGTACACTGTGCCGCATATTGTGGCTATACAGCAATATGAATCTTGTATATAGGTACTATATATATTATGTAAATGAAAGCCGAGCAAAATCAATACACTTGTCACAGAAGATTGCTATCTAACCACACCATTCTTTATTAAACTAATCCAATCCAATCGCACTTGAGCCTTTCCACTGCATGCCTCCTCCGGTCTTGCCTTGCCTTCATTTCATAATTGTATAAAGAAAGTAGAAACTGTTGTTTGATCCGATGTTGTTGCAAGTGTTTTAATTTAAGCAGCCTGCTTGGGTGCCCTCCACCTTTGATTCCTTTTCAATCTCTTTTGTTTATTAATTGCATTGACTGCCTGCTGCTGCATGTTATACTTGCCACTCAGTACTTGCTGCATGTTGGTATTGTTGTTGCTGTCGATGCTGCTGGAAGTCTATGTTGGTAGCAGCTGGAAGCAACTGTGCCCGCTCAGCAGTTCTGAGCCGAGCGAGTGCTGCAGATGATGGCGCTGCGATACGACTTGTGGCACATTATATTGCAGTATCTATTGTCTAATGCCCACTTTATTTGACTCTTTAGTTTGCGAATGGCTTTAATTTTGATTTCGATTTCGATTTGTGTCCACCACCCAACGACACCAGCGTTCTGTCTGCCTCCACTCACTATCGCACCGAGCGTTCGCTTTTTGATTTACTATTCTTTCTTACTAAAATTGAACCAAAGTCCACTAACAGCCATTTACTCACAACTACAAACTCTATCGCTTACTGTCCCCCTATCGCCAATGTTGCCAGCTAAAAAAAAACCTTTAATAAAACCTTAATGTATGGTACTCGTATGTGTAAGCTTTGACAACAAATGCAAGAAGCTGGCAATTATCCTTGCTGACTATAAAAATAAATTACAATACCACCTGTGACATTTTAACTGCATAGTTGTCCAATCAATGTGCGTGTGAACCGCTTGCGTGCAAAAACTACAACATACTTACTACCTAAACATACTTACTCCTCGTTCAACCAAGTACTACTCGTATATACTATACATACGTGACACGTGGGCAACCACATAGGCCAGCCAGCAATCAATCACCCACTCACCAAACTACAGTATAACCATATCATGTCAGACTTATACAACGATCAACAGTTCAACATAACCTCACACGACACAATCATCTAACGTCTATAGCTGTGCCTAAAATACCGATATAGACATAATAACTGAAGCACGAACCGTGCTGGAACCAATGCTAATCGGTCTACTCCACTGTCACCAAAGGTACACGAAGCCGATGCCTGCCTAGTGCTTGCTAACAAATATTGCCAAGATCCCGACGCAGAAGATGCTGCCAACATCATGAGAGTGATCTCAATCAAGAACTACAGCGATGACATAAGAGTCATCATACAGCTTATGCAGTACCACAATAAGGTGAGTGCCTGTCAAGAAAACAATCATATTTTCATTTGCAGTTTTAAATACTAAACACTTAAGTGCCCTTAAGGCATTTGTTCTACAAGTAATAAAAACATATTCCTTGTGTAAAATTTCAAATGCTTTGGGAATTTAAATTATGGTGAACTGGCTTCCAAAGAAGCTGTGTTCTAGTTGACTGTAGACAGACAGACAGATTTTTAACTTTGACATCACAAAATGTAATCCAAGCACATTCTGAGGAAGAATACTACTTAGACCTAATACGAATATGTCAAAATTTGCTCAAAAATGACTCCGTTTTCTTGATCATAGAGTACATGAAATATGTTATAATATTATTAATGATTTTTTCGAATAGGATGCTTTTAATGTAGATGCTTTAACATATACATAGAGACTAATAAAGTGCACTCTGTTTTATGTTTGCAAAATAAAAAGCTTGTTCGAATACAGAGCATTCGTCTGCACATAAAGAAAATGCCCGTCTGTCCATCCGTCTGGATGAACGCTAGGATCTCAGAAACTATAAAAGCTAGAATAACCAAAGTTGGTATCCAGATTCTCCTAGGTCCGAGAAAGGACGAGTTTATTTTATTTTTTGGAATTTCCCCCGCCTTCCCCCGCTACAGAATTTCGTCAATAACGTCCACCTGATCGCGTTTTATTTTCCTAGGCGTATTTGCTGAACATACCATCGTGGGACTGGAAACAGGGAGACGACGTCATCTGCCTGGCCGAACTGAAGCTGGGTTTCATAGCGCAGAGCTGCCTGGCGCCTGGTTTCTCCACCATGATGGCCAATTTATTCGCCATGCGCTCGTTTAAGACCGTAAGTAGTGCAATTGGTTTTCCGTTAAGGAATTACACAACTTTATCAGACACACCTACACAACTCTTTGGAGTCCAATAATCAGCGAAGAGCGCTTTACTTGTTCTTTAAACGCGGGCCAACAAATAATGTTGCAATAAAATACAAGGTTTCAGTGATCTGCGTTTCTGAGCGTTAAGCGTTTCTAATATGTATTTTTGTAAATGCAAAACGAAGATAGAAGCCCAAGAGTCCACTACGAAGTAACAAACAATTCATAAAATATGTGTCTATATTATGTACGTCTTTAACCCCTAGTCGCCAGACATGCAGTCTTGGACAAATGATTACCTCCGCGGCACTGGCATGGAAATGTACACAGAAACATTGAGTCCCACATTTATTGGAATACCATTTGCTCAGGCTACTGAGTAAGTTGCGCAGCAGGCCGACGTTTTCTATATGCTACAACATACAATACTCGTATCGTATCTACTCGTACCTACTACTCTATTCTACTACTTGTTAATCGTGCAGCGTTGAACATAAGAAACACATACACGACACACATACAGTCTGCTAAATGTTTAAATTAAAAAAAAAAATTCAAACACGAAGACATACTCAGAACACACTCGCCTAGTTTTTCAACTCGGTTATGATTGTTGTTGTAAGAATTTTCTTTTATTTGTGGATTTATTATTTGTCGAGCCAAAAACATTTGAGTCTTGGCCCGTTTACACTGACAGAGTTTTGCTTGCAATGTGAACGTGTAAACGTGTGGCCGCGCCTGTTTTGGCTTGCAATACTGTAATTTTATTATTTCTTGATATAAACCGACTCACATACACGCCCCCCGCCCCACACACACACAAATACACACACACACACACACACACACAATTACAACATACATACACCTCGACGTACACTTTGAAAGCTAGTCGTTGTTATAAGCTAACTCTTTGTGTAATTATTAAGTGTTCTAAGTGTTCAAATTGCCTTCAGTGTTTGCAAATACAAATGATATTTTTGCTCAATTGTTTTACTTTTATCTTCAGTTCAACTAAATTGAGAAAATTGTTCAGGCAGCTGTTGCTGACTCTTTGTTTAAGGCTCCCACATCAAACCACATAGACACCCATACAAACACACACGCACACACACAAACACAAGAAGAGCAAAGTGCATTTAAAAGCTATGCATACAATATCTTTGTGAGCTGAGCTCTGTTTACAGACTTGCGTGCATTTTGGGTTTTTTCATTTAACTTGGTTTTGTACTCGTTTCGATATTTTTCTTCCTTTTTATTTTGAGATACATGTATTTATCCCTTGGTTACAAGCTACACGTTGTTCGTTTTTCTCCGAGGAGTGCCAGACGCTAAGCCTAAAATGCTGATATGAGTGCTAGAAAGTGTACAAAAATGCCAATTGCGTATTAAATCAAAGAGATCACATATCCCCATGTCCATATAAATGAAGTATGCCAAAGCTGAAGCTAAGCCTAACCCACACATCTGACCCACACAACTACACCCCCCACGTGCTATTACGAATAATATATATGTATGTACGTGTCTACGAGCGCCTACTTCTTCCCCAGTAGTGCCAAAGCAATGCGTTTGAATGTCCAGCACACTGTCCAGCTACTAGCAAGAAGGCTAAGGTGACAGCCACAGCCACAACCACAACTACAAGTCTACCCTCTATTTACACTGTACCCCAGCTGTGATACCAACAGTCAAACAACCAATCAACCAACCCATATAACAATAATAAACAAACAACAAAAAAGTCACGTAGTTACTTTAGTATACTTACTAAATCCAAACCACAACAAAACCATTTTCTAACTTTCAGTCACCAGACACACAGGCCTGGCAAAATGATTATCTTCAAGGTACAGGGTGCGAGATGTACACCGAAACCCTATCACCTTCATTTACCGGCATGACATTCCCACAAGCCAGCGAGTAAGACTCCAAACTGAGAAATTAGCGAAAAAAACTGTATAAAAAGAAATACTACTCTACTACTTTTTGCATTGTACAATATGTTCGTTTAACAATACTACAGTACTACTACGTTCTTTTTATGATTTCTCAACATGAATTATCGGTTTTGTTTAATATACTCTTTTTAACAAAATACTTTTTGCCCTATTATTACTACTACTTACTTATTTACTACCTACTTACTAATTATACTTAGTTACTCCTATCAACTCCAATGAAAACTCAAAAGAAAACAAACAAAGAGAAACGCATCGATAAACTTGTATATTTAACATTTGTATGAATTGGTTTTTGGAATGACATCGTCTTGCATCCGTTTCCAATACTCGTTCTTAAGCCAGTCACCAGTGATTTAGAAGCAAGAATCCATAATTGAGCAAACATTTACAATTTTGACACTATCCTGTTCACCTCTTAGCCCACCACCACAAACAGCAATTGGTCCCGAACTAAAGATAGAACCCACACCGACACATCTACTTATGTCCTCGTACACCCATGGTACTTGTACTTCCACAATATAGCCCCGAAACAATCAGCGCTTACCAAAACAACCAACCTCAGCAACCGCAAATATCATTGCATGCGCCTTCTAGAACTACTATTCCTACATACATATATAGTTTAGTCTACAACCAACCCACAGCCAATATCAATACAAACACCACAACAGCAAAAGCAAAAGCAACAGCAACCATTAACACTGCGTCCAAAAAGCACAGACAGCTATGCAGCCACTACTGGATGGTCTTCCTCAACTAAATAATTTTACTTTGTAGCAATATTTTGTCTGTAGTTTCGGTTTTTGGAACAGAGTTTTCTTTTTTTTTTCAATATTTTGTACGCATTTTGTCCCGCATGAGTTTTATGTGCGCCGTCGTTGTCCTGTGTTCCCGAACGAAATGTTTTTGTTATTTTGTGTTTGTGTTTTTGGTCTTGGTTTTTTACAATAAATATATTCGTACTTGTATTCTCTAGCCTGTTAATAGCGAGCTTCTGTGCAGACACCTTCAACGCACACGACTGCATGCTAAGTTTTTAATATTTTTAATGGAGCATTATAGTTCTAAGTTTAAATACACTCTGTACGATTTAACTAGATGTAGACCTAAGAAATTCAAGTACGTTTGCCATCATGAAACTAATAACACTTACCGGTTCTACACCAATCCCCATATAGGCTGTGTTTCTCGAAGCTGAAGTTGCTGTTGCTGGCCATTGAGATCAAAGGTGCTGAGGAGGGAGCCGACAGCAAAATTTCAATAAACCCGCGTGGAGCCAAAATACAGGCAAATACGCAGGGTTTTTTCATAGCACAAAGTGCCGACGAGGTCAAGCGGTAAGTTCAACACTTTTCAATCCCTCAAGTTGACATACGGCCCATTTCTCTTCAACTATAACCATTAACTTTCAACTTTTGCAAATACTTGTAAGAACTGGTTTTGTAAGGAAGTTAAGATTAAAATGTGAAAAGTTAGATCGCTTGCCACAAATTGGCAGAGATTTTCATGAGGGGCTACTATTGGCTTTCTAAGGACTAGTTGTGTTGCTTATCATATTATTTATAAAACATATAAATGAACATTTTTTTCAACATAGAATGGTTGATTAACACGTTCCTAAGCATATTTATATTGCATATTTTCGTTGTACCAATCTTATGGCATTCTATACCCGGCTCAAAAAAGTACTTTCATGTAATATTCAAACTAGTTGAATACCCTGTGCGTGGAGAGTAAAAAGGTATCTTGTAATAAACAAAAGAAGACAATCCAATGCTTACCACATTTTGCGATTGGAAGTCTCTAGCATTGCTATGAATATTCTAAAACAAAATGATCGAAATCAAATGAAATCATTTAATAGTTGGTTTGTTGTAATAGTGCTGTAAAAATATGTTACAAGTATTTTCCAGCAAGTAATCTTAGAAAGAACGTTAACATTTCCGAAACGAAATTAGTTGACTGCCATTACTCGGATATTAATTACTTACAGAGCCTGGTTCTACTGCAAAGCCTGCCATGAGGACATCAAGGATGAGACACTCATCAAGAAATGCAAATGCAAAAACTGTAAGTAAATTTTGTTCCATTTCATTCGATGCAACTTATAAATATATCTACGTATATGTATTTGGTTTTACTTATTTCTTTTCACTTAAATATGTAATTTAATTTTGTCATTTGATTTTGGTCGAGCGATATAAGAACAACAAAAATAATCAAATATATACCTATATTTAACAAGCAACGACATCCATATATACATAGCAATAAGCATTTTTAAGGTCAGGCTCTTTTATAATACCACACTCGCAACGATTTTTAATTAAGCAGCCGTCTGCCAGATGCACTAATCCCAACTGTTTGCTCTCTAAAATGTTCCTAAATCTATATACCACATACTATCTATGACTAAATATTTAATACTCAGCATAAAAAACTCAACATATATTTAAAAAATAATTTCTTTATTATGTATTTTTCAACATAAATGTGTATGTTGGCGCGTTTGGCCCTCAAAAACAAAACCAATATGAAAACAACAACAACATCTACTACAATAACTGCATCAAATAACAATCCTGATGGCGTGTTGGCAACACATGCATATGCCAATGCGTGTGCTTGTGTGTGTGTGTGTGTTTGCGACATGGCATAACATAATTTAAAAAAATCAAATCAAAAACCAAATTCAAATTCAAACTAATACAAAATAATACAAACAAATACCATAACTTTGTCCCACAGTGACTGTTCAGCCCAGGAGCAAGTATGACGACTTAGGTAAATCATGCAAAAACCGTTTAACAATAAACACTAACAACAAAAACAACAAACAACCAACAACAATTAACAAACAAACTTTAACCCACTCACACTCAGTTTATGAATTTTTATGCCCAACTTCCGCATACCTTCGTTACCTTTGTTTTTGTGTTTGAGACCGGAAGTAAATTCAAGTCCACAAGTCCGTCTTCCAATTACCAACCAAACCAAACTCAACACCTTCAAGTGCACTTCATGCTGTAATGGTTTTGGTTTTTTTATTTGTTAAATTTGTACTTCCCCCGGTTTCATTGATTTTTGATAGAACAATTTGCCATCATTTGAAGCATTTTGAAAGTGTACTATATATCCATACTGCCCTTCCTTTGCAACAACTCTAATTTTGTTTCTATACCTCTAAACCACACGTACACCCACATATTATTACTTCTACTACTACTAAACTACTAATATATACACAACGAACAACCGTCCCGCCTGTAACCCTTGCCCATGTGCAGTTCCATTTTTTGTCACAGTTTGTTTGAAATGCGCCTCTAAGTATACAATATAATCCACCATACTAAGATATTTACTACAAAATTATTAACTACAACGGTTAACACATAAGACTGCATACTTACATATATACTACATACATATATACCCTACCGATGGCTTACAAATGTACCGTTGAATTTGTAAATATGTTTGTGCGAAATGCAACCCCAGTTTTTTTTTTTTTTTTTGAATACTACTCGTACTTCAGCAACAACCAGCAGCAAGAAATGCTTGAACTTTATCCATTTTTCCACCCAACACACGATTCTAGATTCATTTAGTTGTTTTGAAACTAGAAACTCAAGGAACATTTATGTTTTGCGGATTTGAACCTCCGGACAATGATGGCCTTTTCGGCGAGTATGTTTCATTTTGATGAGCATACACCACCGTGTGATCTGCGTTAACCATACCCTTTCTACTGTCATAAGAATTGGAATAAAATGAGTTATTTAATAAAGTAACACTTATACCAATTATAATATGTATGCTTGAAAAAAAATTGACTCGTCAAAATATTTTATAGTCGATTTGAACGTGTGCATGGAAAGGGTATACGGGTTGGCGCGCATCTTTTGTTCTGTCGTTTAGTTAAATTTTTGGTCATTTCTCGCCGGAAAAATAAAACTTTTTATTTACAAATTTAAAAAAAAAAAACAACATTTTTTTAAACAAATTCTAAGCTGCACTTTGTTAAAAGTCTGTTTCGCTACTCCTACTGCTCCTCTCTCTCTTTTATATTCGTATTTAACTTTCGCTCTATTACAACAATTTATACTTGATATGTATTGCGAGCAGAGAATAATTTAACATTTACTTCATATAAAAAGAAGTGCATGGAACTGAGCACAGAACTCGATTTACAATTTTTATCACACCTACCACAGCCACATACTCGTACAATACTACATCAAAGATAAAAAGTATCTTTTAAATCATTTTGCAGCATACAACTCTAACTACCGATACTAATACAACTAATTTATCTTTGCATACAACTATATAATTGTAACTGTTGAGATCGTATCTAAGAACCTTATAATATACTTATGCCGGGCCGTTCTCTTCAAGCCGTTGCTTTACAGTTAGTGTTACTCGTACCTTATGATTTCCTTGGTGGCACAACTTAACACACTCACCACCAGCAATTGTACATAACTAAACAAGTAGTTGCAGTAAACGCCCGAAAAGAAAACGTGTAAATAATTCTAGAGCAGGTTTATATATACATCTATCTACTTACTGCTATCGCCTTATGACACTAGACTAAGAACTGGAGTATAACTCTTCCTTAAATTCGCTTGTGAAAGCAAAGAACATAAATCGCACACAATCCAGAAATGATGTATAAATTTTAAATAATTTTGTTGTTCTGGTGTCAAAGGGCGATTACGTATGTTTACCAACGTTGTTTAAACATATCCATAAAGCGTGTCACAAGTTACATCCAATTAATCCGAAGACTAACGTTTGTGTATTATAATTTCCTTAGCATAACACTTGTATACGAAACTTTCATGAACTTACACAAATCTAAATACCTACATATACTATCTACAATTAATTTAAATTATAAATATCTACATATATCTAAAGTTTTAGCTGCAATGTTCTCAAGTAGTTAGTAAGTTAACCAATTTGCGTTGCCTGAGTTTGGCTTAAAAATCAAAAGACTGCTGGAAAGCCGCGGTCCGATTGGGCCTGCAACTACCGTTATTTGGAGCTGCAATTATCAACGCATATAATATATATATATATATATATATATATATATATATATATATATATATATATATATATATATATATATATATATATATATACTATATATATATATATATATATATATATATATATATAGTATATAACCAGAGCATTTTAGCGCCTCGAGCTTAAGTTTGAGGCCAAACCATTTGTTTCCATGTGTGCGTTTGTATATGAAAACCGTCATCGTCTTGCAGATGTGGGCATGATTATGATGCAGACGGGCATGGTCAACCAAGGCATCACATCGGTGATGAATACAATGGAGGGTACGCTTAAAATCAATTTGAAAACAACCAAAAACGAATTCCAAATACAAATATTAATCAAAGTTGCAGCGCGCTATACCTATTATCTATATAAATATCTATACGTACATACATATTTAAATACTGCCAAGTGATTTATTTGTTGCTGCTAGCCACATTTAGCTATTTGTGTTTTCTATAAAAAAAATACACTTTCCAAAATATCTAAGCTATTAAAAAATATAAAATATCCGTAGTGAATTGAAATTCCCCCCAGGGGGAGCCTCAGAGAACATAAACAAGATAGAACGCTACAGTCGAGCAAGCCCGACAGTAAAATAGCCTGTACTCTCCACAAAAAGGAAAAATTAAAAAAAAAAAAAAATTAAAAAAAAATTAAATTATTAAAAAAAATAATGAATGAATTAATTAAAATAATTAATTAAATTAAATTAGAATACATGTTTATGTTCAGTTTAAACAGCATACATTTACATCACGTACCTATGCGTGTTCATATGCGTGTATGTATGCAGCACAAAGTTGAACAAAAGCAGCAACAACAACAACAGCTGCGGGCAGCGCTGCCGACAGAGCTGCAGGCAGCGCATGAGCAGCGATTTTACTTATGGCTATAACTTCTTCAGAATTGACCTATCATGATGAAATTTGGCACACGGACACATTAGTACTAACTGGATGTACCTACCAAAATTTATTTCAAAATTCCGAGAATTACGGAAGTTATAAGAAAAAATACGAATTGCGGGGGAGTGGGGGGGTGTATCAGAAAAAATAAACAAACTCGTTCTGCCTAGGGCTTATAGGAACCTTGATACCAATTTTGGTTATCCTAGCTCTTGTACTTACTGAGATCCTTGCGCTCATACAGACAGACGGAGAGACGGTCAGACGGACAGACGGACAGACGGACATGGCTATATCGACTCGTCTTCTCATCCTGATCAAGAATATATATACTTTGTGGGGTCTGCCACGCCTCCTTCTGTGTGTTACATACATGCGCACAAAACTAGTATAGCCTTTCACCCTTTGGGTACAGGCTATAAAAAAGTCTTATGTCCGTCTATAACTACATTAACAATGATTTATACTATATATTAATAATATTCAAGTATATTTTTTGGATAATTTTCAAATTTTCTGATAATTTGTCGAGGACTTAAAAAAAGTGTGTATGTATACATATATATCGATTTAGGCTAAAATACCAACAAATTAAATGCAATGAAAATAAAATTGCTCGACTAGAAATTGGAATATGTATTTGAATTCGGCCAGCCGAAGCTCCTACTTATCAAAAAAATTATTTAAAATGCCTTTGCTAACAAATAAATCCGTGTAAGCCATTTAAATCCAAAACAAACAACTAAAAAATATAAATGCAAGAACTATCTAAAATTCTTTGTAAATTTGTGTTTAAGCGTGTCAGCCAGCCCCAGTGCTAAAAGCTAAACCTTTAGGCTTATGCTTAATGACCCAGCTATCCAACTCAATGCAAACCTATCCACCAGAACTGGCTTAGCCCGACCCCGCTAAAATCCCACGCTACCCGGAGGTGCAGTTAAAAAGATACAGGACACCTCAATTTGACGCTAAGTGGGTCTGTTAGCTTTGAGGGTAGGAGAGCAAGCGATACAATTTAACTGCAAGGAATTATGTACATATATGCATTAGGAAATCGTGCCGGACTATCTATAATAGCGTTCAATAGTTACTTCCTTGCTCTCTTTCTTTTAATGGTGCTATCTATTGTACTTTCAGTGTAAATTAAACATAGAATTAAATTAGCCTTTCAACGAGTTTGTTGGTTTCCTAAAAGAAAATTGTGTGCATAATGCATAACTAGTTAATTTTTTTGTACACACCTTAATATACATATATACCTATTCATAAATATGTACACTTCACAATATATATTAAATGAAATTTTAAATATAACGTGTGCCGTGCGAATTAAATTTTGTAAGTTTCAAATCTGACATTATTTTGGTATTGGTATTATTTATTGGTTTGAGTTTATACTTATATACATTATTATAAATTAATTTGATGTACGAAGTTGAAAAGAAAAGAAGAAAAGAAAACCAACTATCATTACCTTACCATCATTTACCTATTCACACAAATCCTATAAAATTCTGTTTTCATGAAACAAAACAGTGGCCACCTTCCGGAAAGGCGTCCGAGCCGTACAAATGGTTGGGCGTGCAAGTACGTATAACTCTCTCTACTCTCTCTCTCTCTCTCTCTTCTCTCTGTCTCTACTCTACTCTACTCTACTCAACTCAACTCAACTGTACTTCTAAGCATACAAAACATATCAGAGTCAAAAACGAAACATACAATACAGTAAATTCTAACAAAAATCAAAATTACTCCACATTACTTCTGCTAACTAATTCTAAAGATCTGCGCCTCAAACGCCCACTAACTAACCTTAACTAGTACTTACATGTGTTATTGCTAAGCAATCTGTCAAAATTAAACCCACTATGAAACATCGGTCGGTCAGTTAAGCAGAAAAATGCTCAATTAATCTAACCATGAGTAGTCACTCAATTACATTTCCTAGAACCCACACATTACACTCCATTTACACAGTACACACAGACATGCCCAAAATTAGGGATAATACTCATACATACATAGTGGACACTTGTACACACATACTCGTATAAACGTTTCTACTCGTTCGTTATAGTAACTGTATACTTTTAATAACCAACATTATCCTTAGTGTGTGTGTGTGTAGTTGAGTCGATAAAAAACCAAAATGCGTTCAACTCCAAATTAATCGAACTATTCAAACTTTATTCCAATTGAGTCTGCCGTTGTGTTTCTGTATACTCGTATGATCTACTCATATAATCGATTTTGTAACAACCACATATATATGTATGTATACTAGTATATCAAGTCGGATCATATATAATACTTACATGACCCGGCATAAACCGCATTTTGTACAAACCTAAATGTATTTATCGTAACGTAACTATATCTTCGTACTGTCTATTTGTCCTATTTGTCGTGACCTTAGAATTACAAACAAACGTAGTTTAATCAAAATTTCAAAATTCCGATATGAAAGCATCAAGATGTTCAAAAGCTCTTCGTAAATTTCGTAAGAACGTTGACATATAGACAATAACTGAATACACAAAGACATGATCTACAACATATATTGAAGAGAACTTAAAAACCAGAATAATATGAAATGTACATATGTTTCATAATGCGCTGAAGGCAAATTAATAATAGACCGTAAGAATAGACTCCGAAAGAGAGGACTACTTAGTAAGGAGATATACAATAATAATATTTCTTTAATAATATGTACATGACTTTTGTATAGTACTTTTTAATTTTTGTATTTCTTAGGGCCCAGACCGCAAAAGAAAGAAGAGAGTGGCTTCTTGTTGTACAGTTACATAGAGTGACGAAAAATCCATAATGTAAAATGTACTTAGTTAGATATACTTATGTATATTGTCTATGAAAACAACGTTTACGATATAAGAGACTTTTAAATCTTATTGGATCGTCCAATATTATCACCGTTTCTTTGTATGCCAAAATTCGTAGTTGTGCGAAAATATACGTTTCCATTATGTACATACACATAAATATTGCCCACTACAGATAGTATGCCACAGAAAAGTAAATTTTGTTATAAATACTCAATTCCTATTCATTAAAAATGTATTCATAAAATCAGCATTACACGTTCATACAAAGAACTCAAATAATACTTTGACTTTTCATATCCAAGTATTCTCTGTAAATGATCTGGGGCTATGTCCTTTTCCATATATGTAAACGTATCCTATTTTTATATACTTCCCTTATCCTTCTACTCACTTATATCAACTTCTACTACTACTAAAAAATCGTACTATTTATATGTCTGTGTGTGTGTGTGTTTGTAGAAGACGATGAATACTCGTTGTCAAGTAAGTCAAACTAAGTCATATAATCGTATATCCAAATAATATTTCAGCATTCGCATTCGTTTTACTTCAATATAGTCCATAAACAGTTTTATGATTTTTACAAATAGATTTCATTTGACCAAAATATTTACATTACTCGTACAGTGTGCCAGTGCACGGTTTTATTTTCAAATACACAAATATTTTTAGTACTTACATATATATTTTTTTGTAATTTGTATTACATATGTTTTGGAGTGTGACTTGTGTTGTATGTACTTTGGTCGGTTTTTCGTTTTAAAGTTATGTGCAATTAGTTATACAAGTTTAACGTAAGTTTTGTTAAATCTTCAAGCCTAGTACTCAGTTCAGAAGGCGAAGAACAGTATGCATTTCCAAAAAAATTGGTATTGTATTTCCTGTAAGTTGGTCTTTACGCTTGTGCCGAGTACTAGGCTTCGTTTCACTCGTAAAAACCACAAATAATAAACTTAAAGTGTTTTGAAAAGCAACGCAACTGTTGAAAGTTTATCAGCCAATGTTTAAAAATCACCAAAGCGCAAAGCAGCTTCCTGCGTGCACGCCAAAGCCTAAGAAAACAAATGGAGAAGAAAAGAATTGAGTCGGCTATTGGCAATTGCAACGCGAGAAAATTCCAAATTCAAAGCAGTTCAATTGCTGACAAATACAATATTTTATATGTTAAAATGTTCAATTTAGTTCGGGCGTGTAGATAGTGCAACTCGTAGCTGACAATGAGAAGTTTAAGTTGAAGAGAAGTATTCCAGAGGCGTATCTTGAGGAAGTTGTAGTTCATATTTGTAACACCCATAAACGCTTTAACCGAAAGCCCAATGTGACTAAAGTAAATAACCTAAACACTCTCAAGAATAATGCTTTTATACAAGTAGTAGCCTATTACTTAGCTTTTAAACCACCGCACAACTGCACATTGCCAGCGTGCTGCTTGACTAATATATTACCCATTTCAACTAAGAAAACAAATCGATTTGGTTATCTAAACTACTGTTTTAAACGAGACTGCTTGATGCTGTTCCCATGCCTATGCAAATGCCTAACCCGATGCTTATGCCAATGCCTGATTGTGCTTGCTTTTGCTTTCTGTACTGTCGTTGTGTTCGTTGTACTATACAAGTAGTTGTTTCTCAACTCTTTACACTCTCATATTTATTTGCATGTTTTTCTTATGTCTTTAGTTGTACAAGATAATTAGAGACCTTACAATGATCCCAGAAGCCATTTCCCAGACCATCTTCAACACTCTCTTTAATTTCGGTGTGTCCTTGGTTAAACAAAAATTTTATGTTTCCTTAGGTAATCCAACAAAAGACACCAAATGATTTAAATTATTTTATATTTCATTTCTAAAAAATCACATTGATTTCCACTTTTTGTTGTTACAACAAACTCAATTTTTACAATTTGTGTTCCTGAAAATGAAAAAAAAAAAACACACCACAATGTACTTCCCCTCTTAATGAAATTTATGTATATTTCAAAATCAAATTATGAGCTTCACATAAAGGCATATAAACTACACAACAAATGAAAAAAAGAAAACCCACACACAAATGAATTCGACTACCTGAAGCTGTGCGATAACAAAACCAAATATCTTACAGATGAACACCATCCTGCACCCACATTTACGCCACCAGAGCTACCCAAACGGGTGCATGTGCGTGGATCTGTATCTGGTAAATTCTCAGCTTATATAAGACCAAAACAAACACATATATTTATATTTGAAATATCTATATCTCTATCGAATAAACTCGAAAGCAAACGCTTACATAAGTCAAGTTACAGCAACTTGCACCTTGCAAATGATAGAAAGGTTATTTTGAACACAAGACGTCGACGACCATACCACAGTTCTTACACAAATTTTGCCTCAGTTTGACTTTTGCCTAAGTTCGCTTTTTTCGATTCAACATCATGCAGCGCTCAATAAGTCTCAACAACATGCTTTGAAAAAAGAGCCAAGAAAAACTCCATCTGTCCAAGCCAAACCAAACACAATGCGTTAAATCAAATACCATACAGCTCATAATTGTTCTTTAGCTATTCGTTTGCATAAAATTGTTTTATTTGCTTATAATCATATGAACAGAAATTGTTTTTGCTAATGTAAGATGACAACTATTTTCAATAAATTTACTCGTTATACATATATATATGTATCTACTACATACATGCTATATAATGAACTGAAATATCTCTATATATTGAACCTTAACTACTCAACTGCCATTTGATCGATGTCTATTTAACGACTTGTTTACTTTTGTATACATTTTTGGTGTGTTTTGTTTTGCATACAATCTGCTTGTTAACAACTTTGTTTATTTACATTTATTGTGTCGACACTGTTGCAACTCACACCACATACTACAATACTTATACGTATACGAGTACACTTGAAACTGCCCTCAACTACTTACAAAACAATCCAACAAATGTAACTGCCTAACCAATTAATACTTATTAAGATCTACTACATACATGTACATACATACATACGTGTATGTTTAACCATACGCGGCTCAAAACTACCTTTCTTGACTAACTTGACTAATGCAAATACTGCTACATACCCGTAGAGCTAAAGTTAAATCTCCAATCGATCGATAGACAAACACTTGCCAGCCAGAGCTGCCATATTTTGCGCTGTTACTAATCGATTAACGTTTTCTCTTACAATTGCCGCCCCTTATCGCGCTTCCTCATCTCACCTCATCTGCTCTGCCTCAGGTGATATCACACGCGACAGAGAAGATACGAATCGTAAGTTTTGCCGCTCTCCCATGCCGCCCACCTGACTCTTCACGCCTCCTCTCTTTCTTACAGTACTCAATCGCAATGTGCGCCGTCCGAATGGCACTGGAAACGGTACAGGGGCCATGCATCACATGAACAACACTGTCACCGCCGCTGCCGCCGCCGCTGCCGCTGCAGCGGGCAAGCAAGTGAACAAAGTGAAGCCCACGGTGAACGTGAGCAGGCAGGTGGAGGGTCAAGTCATATCGCCGTCTCAGTACAACAGGTGAGTGGGCGCACGGAGGTGTGGGCTGGGCTTGGGCTTGGACTTGGACTTGGGCTGAAGCTGAGGCTGAGGATTGTAAGCCTAGCGGCTCCTGTCGGCCTGCCTCAAGTCTATTCCATTTAAAGACATATACGTACTTACTACTTACTATATAAATATACTTATAAATAAATACACGGCAAACGGCACTTTGTATTACAAAAAATATAGCAACAAACAAACCAAAACAAAAATTCGGTAATTATAATGAGCAAGACAAGAAGCGAACACTTTAGGCCAATGCTGTTCCACTATTCCACTGTTCCATATTTACTCGTACATACTACTATATACATATTTCTATATAATTTATTCAATGGTTTGCCAATTTCCGTTTCCGTTCCACCAGAACTAAATCTAAAGCCAAAAAAAAAAGAGTTTTTCTACTAACACTTACTATCAACTAATGATTTGTGCCAAATTATGTGTTTTATTTTACACCTTTATGTTGCTAAACAACTAACAACAGCAACTACAAAAAAAAAAAACAGCAAAACAATAACAACAATCTCGTACATATGTAAATGCTCTCTACTAATTACACTTCTTATCACTCACACAAAAAATTAAAAGCAGAAGAAAAAATATAAAAATAAGAACTATAGCCACAACAACAGCAACAAGAACATCAACAACAACAACAACAAACAATAAAACTTATAAATTTAACAAGTCTAAATGTATAAAAAACGAAAAACATTTTGTTTCAGGCCACCAGAAAATGATGCTAACCCTTATGCGGGCTATCAACTTGCTTACGAAGTTAAAAAGCTCATGTATGCGTCCATAATTTCCTAGAATCTTTACTAAGCGAAAAGCAATTCAGTTTTAAACTACATACCTACATACATATAACTAACTATAAAACTACTATCTAGCATATTCGTAATTACTCTAACAACATTTATGCGCATTTTGTTTAACACACTCTCAGCTGTTTTGATTGATTGATTCATTGATTGATTGAAAGCTAATTAATCTCGTATTACATACATACATACTACTCGTACATAATTAAAAATGAAATTTGAATACATTTGTGTACGTGTATGTATATAACTCTGTCTGCGTACGTATGTGTTGTGTGTCTGTGTCTCTCTCTGTTTAACAAACTAATCTGAAAAACACTAACCAACATTTTACGACAACAATGCATTTCACATAACTATACGTACAAACTATTTTTTTAACATCTAACACAGTATTTTTTTAATCATAGAACGCCAGATAGCAAGGTCGCCAACTCCTTTTAGGCTTGCAACAATGAAACCAAGCTTGCGTGGAAGAATTTCCACGGCTGCCACTTGATTAGGTTTCTATAATTAGTAAGAGGGCGATGAAGTTGCAGGGGGTATATTTTATTATTATTTCATTTCTATAGTTAGGGTTATAAAGTATAATTCCTACGTTATTGTCATTAGCGACAAAGGTGGCAGAACGAGGTGTTTCAAGATCCAAGTATTCTGGATCAAATGCTATTCATCGATATAGAGTATTCTGTTCATAATAAGGAATAAAAGATTTCGAAAAAGAAGTATGTATATATTTTCGTAGCAAAGGCTGGTGGCAACGGCCCTCCCCTGCCCCCCTGCCTTAAAATTTTTTATAACAATTGCCAAGTCAGTTTCAATAGGACACATTTGAAAAAATAGATTACAATTTGTATCTAATTTAATACATTTGTTCGCGTATAATATCTTTGTACTGAAGGAGAATGAAAGGAAAGAATATATTTTTCGTTGGCTTGGATCAAGTTTTTGGAGAATAAGTAGCGGCAAATGTTTGAAATATTTAATAATTGGATGCCTTCAACTAGGTATTATTTACAAAATTGGGATCGGGTTTTGATATTCATTAATAAATTGGAGCTTATACGTGGCATCTGTGATTGTTTTTCGTATTGCCCAGAGAGGTTGGCAGCCTTGCAAAATCAATAAGAACCGGCCCAAGAGTATGATATGTCTGTGTACATTTTTACTTTGTCAGTGTGTGCCTTTTACTAACTATTCTTGCTACTATTACTAATTTTACCAAAACTAATTCAATTTGTAAATCAAAGCAATTCATAACTTGTGTGTGTAACTAACTGTATTCGTAAATGTAATTAAATGTAACTACGTTTTTGGTCGCATCTTACTTGCCTTCATTCTCAACATACTATTGTTGCATATAATACTCGTAACTACTACTTACTACATACTTACTAACATATTGTAGTTGCATTTTTAAACATACTATTATACTAAAATTAAGACGAGCAGCTGTTCGTTGAACACAAAACCTAACACATACATAAGTAGTATAAGTATGTACTTATGTATGTCGAATCATAAGTCTACCAATACTCGTAAGACACATGGCCAACAGTCAATAGTCAGCGTACACTGAACAAAACAGCATCGACATCTTTGCGTATTCTCTGTACTCTGTGTGTTTCTCGTTTTCATTTCACTTATGGAGCTTGTGCAGACCGTGCACCTTTGGTTCTCGAGCTCCTTCTTTATTTGCTAATTGCGAACGGCATTCATTATAATAGAGTAAATTTTTGTGTTATTCCGAGGCTGCGGCACGATGTGGGGTCCCTTGTGCATGCCAACAATTTGCCCGCACGCACACACACACACACATATACACGTACTACACACGCACACTCACCTGGGGACTGCCGCATGCCACAAGCCGCACTCGGAGCCGGAGATAAGTTTTTAAGCTGAAGTTTTGAGTAGTTGAACGAATGTGTTTCATTTTATTCGCATTGGTATATTGGTATTTGGTATTATCGTACTATATAGTATATGTATGTATTTTGTTATTAGCACAAGCTCTACTCTTCTTTCTCTCTGCCACTACTCGTAATCTCTATCTTACTTACTACTTACTGTACTCTTTTCAATATCAACGAGTTGCAAGTACTCATGCATTTTTTGAACGAAACGTACTCGTAGAGTTACCAGAGCACTTTGCATTTGGATGTAGCGTTTATTTTGATTGGTTGATAAAATGATATGCCAAAAACCCAAACACCACCACCGCATTGCAAGCCGCACAGACCGCCTAGCTAAAACCGATCTCCCGTCTACTTGCGTATTTAGGCCAACGAGTCGCAGCTCTGGCACGGGCACGCAAAATCAAAATGGCGGCGTTACCTTGCCCGCCGGCATCGCGGACGACCAGTCGAAGGACTTTGATTTCGAGAAGACAGAAATGAAGTACGACTCGACGGGCATGTTCCACTGGAGTCCGGCGAAAAGCTTAGAAGACTGCATATTGGTATGTACACGTGTAATATGGACAAGCTAATAAATACGGATCGTCGCATATACCAGAATATTCGAAGGTTTCTCTTCAGTAGCTTCGGGTTACTCGACAGTTTTCGACCAATACTATACAAAAATATATATATTCAAATATTTAGAAATCCATAGTGAGAGCTATTTATAATATATAAGGAATACTCGTAGTTGGTAATCTAATTAAAGTCTAGTTAGAGTTATCCTAAAGATGGAATTAATACCAATCCTGCCAAATTCTTGAATAAAAGATGTTCTGTTGAATGTGCTCTTTATCGCTTAACAAATACTAGCCATTAAACGAAAAGTCCTATAAATTGCAGAAAATTTAGAAATCCATAGTGAGAGCTATTTATAATATATAAGGACTACTCGTAGTTGGTAATCTTATTAAAGTCTAGTTAGAGTCATCCTAAAGATGGAATTAATACCAATCCTGCCAAATTCTTGAATAAAAGATGTTCTGTTGAATGTGCTCTTTATCGCTTAACAAATACTAGCCATTAAACGAAAAGTCCTATAAATTGCAGCCACTTTTTTATTATTTTACTACGGAAACCAAACAAAATCGTAATTTCTCTATAAACAAAAATAAAAAGTAGCTCACGTTCTTTTTTATATTTTTTATATTCGAATACTCGTAAATATGTATATACAAATATCCTTATTGAACTTTATTAATTATGCAGCATATATACGATGTTCGTTTCACCTTAATTCACTTTCAAGTTCAAATACTCCCGAACTTCTCTCAAAGAAATATACGGAGAACGATACTCGGAAAAGTCCTAAAAAAGTTTCTCGGCAGTTAAGAACACTGGAAAACTAAATTTATTGTTGTTCAAAATCAATTCGACAGTGGTGTTTGACAAGGAAAACCTCGTATCAAAATCATTGACTTCATATGAACAATGGTTTTCTGCCTCTTTCAAATATATTCCTCCTTTACTATTAATCGCGGGCTTTAATCGGTATTTTTGAATTTAGGAGCTTTAATTCAATGTATTGATTTTTGATATAGATATACAAGCTCTTAGAGGCCTGTTGTAACTTAATATAAAGCTATACAAGTATACATATAAAGACAGACTCATTGCTGTCTAATTCGGTTTTAATCACATGGCCATGCAAAATTATTACTTACCACTGATCATGAATTTCAGGATCGCAATCAAGCGGCCATGACGGTGCTAAACGGTCACGTGGTTGTCTGCCTGTTTGCGGATCCGGACTCGCCACTCATCGGGCTACGGAATCTGGTTATGCCGCTGCGGGCATCCAATTTCCACTATCACGAGCTCAAGCACGTGGTAATTGTAGGATCGGTGGATTATATTCGACGCGAATGGAAAATGCTACAGAATCTGCCCAAAATATCGGTGCTCAATGGCTCCCCACTGAGTCGCGCCGATTTGCGTGCCGTCAACGTCAATCTGTGTGATATGTGCTGCATATTGTCGGCCAAAGTTCCTAGTAACGACGATCCCACGCTAGCAGATAAAGAAGCCATTCTGGCCTCGCTAAACATCAAGGCTATGACCTTCGACGACACGATCGGCGTGCTCTCCCAACGCGGTCCGGAGTTTGACAATCTGAGCGCGACCGCTGGAAGTCCGATTGTGCTGCAGCGGCGCGGCTCAGTGTACGGCGCCAATGTGCCCATGATAACAGGTAAACTGCATCGCACTAAGTTGGCCGAGTTTGCGAACGACCAAGAGATTAACGCCCGAGCAGCGTGCTTACGAAGCTGGCCAATGCAAGCTTATTTAAAAGTCCTCTGAATTGTCAAGTCTTCACAAGTGTTCATCTGATGATTCATGACAGGGGTGTGAAGTAACAGACAATAGTTTTCAGTTCTAGTCTAGTAATTGTAGGAACACTGGTGTCCCATGCATGCCACAACATAAAATTTATCTCTGATCTAACAGGATTAGAAGACGTGCCAATTAGGGGCATTGGCCAGCTTCATGCGGCAGCTAATGATATCCCACCTGGCGTTGATTACTAAAAACACTTTGTTTTGTTGTTGGTTGTCGTTTAAAGAACTGGTCAATGATAGTAACGTGCAGTTTCTCGATCAAGACGACGATGATGATCCAGATACAGAACTATATCTCACGCAGCCGTTCGCCTGCGGTACTGCGTTTGCTGTGAGTGTATTAGACTCGCTGATGTCAACGGTAAAATCACGCCCCATACCTCCGTCAAGTTATACTCCACTGCATTGTTCTCTTTCTCCTTTTCCCCCCGTCCCCGCTCCCTATTTTATTCACAGACATACTTCAATCAAAACGCCTTAACGCTAATACGCTCTCTGATAACGGGCGGAGCCACACCGGAGTTGGAGTTGATACTGGCCGAGGGCGCAGGCCTGCGCGGAGGATACAGTACAGTCGAGAGTTTAAGTAATCGCGACAGGTACGTATGCACTTATGTTACTTTTCAAATAGGATCTACATTAAACAGAGATCAACTTTAATATGTACTACCATGAAGACTTAATATTTTTAAACTTAATTGACCCAGCACTCCTTATAAAAAGCTTGTTGTATACCTTGGACAATCGGCTTACACCGAGACATTAACTATGAATTATAGTATAACTAAGTAGTATAAAAAGTAATTTTTTGTGGTGTGGCAGAATCACATAAGTATTTAAGCTTTTGGTCCAAAGATGAGCCTCACACTGAATAGAGCTTCTTTGCAAATCTGTGCAAGAATTCCTGACCGATCAGTCAAAGAATTCGTTGAAAACAATTAAGTTTTGAGTATTTTTAAAGCATACATTTAATACGCTTTTAAAAGCTGTGCAGAAGTTCTAAAGAAACGTGCTTTAAAAAATAGTTGTATTTTAAAAAGCGCCTTTTAGAAAGAAATCAATCGGCTACATTATTTTGAAATAAGTATTTGGTTTGTAATGGAATGTTAAGATGACAGACAAAGTAAATAAATGCCTAATTTAAGATCGTTGGAAGCAGTCTTGTGGTTTGCTGATTGTTCCAATGATAAATATAATACAATAAATACAAATTCCCCCAAGGTGTTGGAGGTGGTCATAGACATTACTCTAGTATTGTTAGATTATTTTTGAGGATTTATTTCTTATCATTAAAAATGATCTTATGGTCTAAGGGAAATTTATGTTAGTACGGACACACAGTCGGCTGATAACATAACATATAGTATAGACGTATACTCCTTCTGCCTGTTACATACTAATATTAATTAGTATATCTTACAGCCATTACAAAATTTTGAAAATACTGCATATAGGTTGAGAAACGCTTCGATTTTTATTAAATAATGAACTCTTGATCTTTGCACTTTGAACTTTAATATTTCTGGCTCGCGCTTTCAGATGTCGTGTGGGCCAAATATCCCTTTATGACGGCCCGCTGGCTCAGTTCGGAGAGTGCGGAAAGTACGGTGATCTGTTTGTCGCTGCACTCAAGTCCTACGGCATGCTGTGCATAGGTCTGTACAGATTTCGTGACACGAGCTCTAGCTGTGATGCGAGTAGCAAACGTTACGTAATAACCAACCCACCCGACGACTTCTCACTACTGCCAACAGATCAGGTAAGCTAAGCAACCACACACCTTAGAGTTATCCATCTAGTATTCTCATTATCCTTTGACTGCGATTTGCAGGTGTTCGTTTTAATGCAATTCGATCCGGGCTTGGAGTACAAGCCGCCCGCGGTTCGTGCACCGGCCGGCGGTCGCGGTACCAGCACACAAGGGTCCGGGGTCGGTGGGGGCGGCTCCAACAAGGATGATAACTCTTGATTGTTACTGTGTAGCGCCTTAACTGATGGTCCTTATTCGTACATTTGAACGATGGAGAAGTTAATTGTGTACAGAGCGGCGCATTTATGGCACAACTATTGGCATAAGATTTGGTTCAAGTTGTGGCGGCATCGTCACAAAAAAGCTGAAAAGACATACAATGTAAACGTAAAATAAAAATGAATTAAATCAAAAATTCTTAACTGGGCCAGCTTAGGCGTAGATTAGTTATAAACGTGCTGCACACAAATGCGTTGCTCTGTACTTTTATATTTGTCGAGACACCCGCATAATGTATTTTGTCCAACCTATCTAACAATCAAGGGACAACTGCCACCGACCAGCACGCCCACAAGCCGAACAACAGCTATCAACGTGCCAGGGGGCCAGGTGAAGTCCGGTGTCTCCACAAATATAAAAGACACAGACTGTCAAAAGAACCAACAACTTCTTTGATATCCATCGTTCAATTGCTAACTGATTGCTTCCCACACCATTCCGTATGCCTTTTTAGAACCTTGAAATTAACATACTATTATTATTATTATAATTATTACTATTATTGCACTATACTTATTTTACTTATTTCTTCCATTATTCTTATCCTCTATTTATCTGTGTACGTAATTTTATTAGTTTTTATTTTGTAATTTGCGTTTCTGTCCAAACTTAGTTCATAGATAGCAATAAAAACTGGTTCAAATCATTTATTTAAAACTTATTATAATTTAAATGCCTTTAGTTTGAAAGCAGCAATCATTAGTTATAAAAGGGTATGTATGCAAATTATCATTTACGTGTACATTCACATTTAAAATGCACTTTGTATTCTGAATTCAATTCTATTTTCATGTCTCATTTATTTACATTTTGAGTTCACTTCATGGCGCTATCATTGCATTACATTGAAATAAATCAAAAGCAAATCCATCTCAATGGTGTGAGGTAAGCAATTGGGAACCATTAGTGAGGTAAGCTACACATTAAACAAGGAAAACCCGAAAATCCAACCAAAACAACAAACTCGACTTCAAACAGAGACAACCTATTCTAGCTATAAAAATAAAAAATGTAATATATATACTTATATATATATATATGTTTTTTGCAATTGATTCTAAATGCTAAAATGCTATTATACTAAAAGTCCTTATGTACTTATGTACTGCTCTAAATGCGAAAACAAAACAAGAATCAGAAAAGAAAGCTATATGTGTATGTAAACTTGCTGCAGACACTTACAACTCAAGTCTACACAAGTCTCTCTTGGAAGCAGCAACAACAAATACGCTACAATTAATATATACGTATTGTAAATATAAAGAAATAGTTACAGAAACAAAAATTGAACAGAAAATTAAATGCTACACCGCCACGTCAATTTCGTTATTGGAAAGGGGAGGATCGGTAGAAACCAAACAAAATCTGTGTCAGCATACACTTTCAAAAACTGCATTTAGAAGTTTCTGAGCATGCGCAAAGCGATTTATATATATACATATTGTAATCATTTAACTTTAAACCAACAAACATAAACACAAATAACTCTTAGCGATACTCTATTAAACATACCTACATACATACATGCAATCAGCTAAATATTGAATACTTACAAGAAGAAAAAAAAAACCAAAACATACTCTTGAAACTTGAAACTCTGGCGTGGGGTTTTTAAAACACTTTAAGCATAACGATTGTTACAAATACTGTTGGAAATACTGAGAACAACAAAGGGAGGAGCACATACTTTACGAACTATCGCTATTTCAACGATGAACAATTAGAAAAAACTCACACTTTTAAGATAATTCCAAACTTTCGACAGGAAGGCAATATCAGCCAAACAAAAGCCAATATTTTAGCTGACGCCTCTAAGAATGGCGATACTGAAAACTTCTTGAAAATATATAAAAACAAGAGAGAACGCTACAGTCGAGCAAGCCCGACAGTGTAATACCCTGTACCCAGGTAAACTTCCGTCACTGAGTTATATGCGCCCAAAGCAGCAGCAAAAAGAGGAAGAAGAAGAGCGAACTTGTTGCTGCAGTTTGTGGGGGTTGTACTGTAGAAAATTTGTTTCGCTAATAACTTTTCTCAGAATTGACCGAATTGGATAAAATTTTAAACAACAGTAGACAATTATATATAAATTATGTGTGCAAAGTTTGGTGGAGGTAGCATTTGAAATGTGGATGCTATTGACGAAATTCTGTAGCGGGGGAAGGGGGGGAAAATTAAAAAAAAAAAAAATAAACTCGTCCTTACTCGGACCTAGGAGAATCTGGATGCCAACTTTGGTTATTCTAGCTTTTATAGTTTCTGAGATCCTCGCGTTCATCCAGACGGACAGACGGACAGACGGACGGACAGACGGACAGACGGACGGACATGTCTAGATCGATTTCTCTCGTCATGCTGATTCAGAATATATATACTTTATGGGGTCGGAGATGCTTCCTTCTGAATGTTACATACTTTGCACAAACCTAATATACCCTTTTTACCCTACGGGTACAGGGTATAAAAAAAAAACATTTTAGACATTCGATAATACTTTCAAAAGTAAAGCCGCCTTTAAATGCAATTATACACATTTTTAATCAACTGCAACATACTTTCTGGGCTTACCTGGGTTGTTTCTAATATCTTGCTATACTATGTTTAATGAAACAAGAGAAAACCAAGCATCTAAGGCCATTAAAGAATATTTGAAAATAAACATTTTGCTTGGTGAAAAATTTTAATTTGCGAAACCTCAAAAACAGGATAGCTCTTTATAACATTTAAACAGCAATTTATAACAATACTTAAAAACGACTTCAACTTTAGCGACCCTGATTTGCAAGATTCTAAAGGCGTGCTCTTCTGAAATAAGAAGTAGAATTTTAAATTTATTAAGAGCTGCTAAGGCAGAGCACTCGAGCCGCGTTCCAGGCCTCTTTGGTACTGAATAATAAGCCATTTCTATAAATAGCCATTTCTTTGAAAAGTCTTCGGAAGCATAATACTTCAAGCTTTCTAACACAGAGTCACATTTAAATGAAGTCACATTCACGATGCATATTATAAGTAGCGGAATCGAATCATTATAAATTATACGAGTATGTATATACATATAGCGATATGAAATTCAGCTGATAAACGTAGTTAGTAACAATTTTTTAGTGCATGTGTGCGCTTTTTACGTGCATGCGTAATTCGATTTACGAGCAGCAGCTGTGGTGTTCTAAACAAATTTTTGTAGATAAACGAAACAAAAGTACGAGAAACGAATCAACGGCTACTTGGTCAAATTCTTATCGACTTTCTTTCCCACTTCCGGTCTAGATTTCGCGCGCTCGCACCAAGAGTTAATGAAGACGCCCTATTTTTGTACATAGAGCATGTTGTAAATAATTACCTTCTTTATACTTAAATGTATGTATATGTACATGTACCCTTAATTATCACTAAAACTACTACTACTCGTGCTTATTTATCGTATACTCGCTCGTATACAACTTACAGTCACTTGGTTTTGTTTGTGAAAATGTTCGAGCATTTCTGTTGTCGCTTACGAATTATTCGGTACACATAAAATGTATTTGTTCAAATGAAAAACACTGCCAAAGCGTATAGAAATCACAAATTGCAAACATTCCAGTATACTACTATACTATATAGGAAGGTGCAGACGATTTTGTTCTCGATTATCTCAGTATCATCAGCATCAGCATCAGCATCAGCTTTCGCCTCAGTGCGCTGATGAAGGTTTTGTTTTACTTTAGTTTTGCATAGCAGCGAAAATTTTCGTCACAAACAATCAAAGTATTGCAAATAATAGTATATCATGGGAAGAAAAACAAAACAAAACAAAACAAAATTAAAGTAAAACGAATTCGAGCTTTTAAAATTAATAAAAACAACAACCTATGAGCCTAATTAAGTGCAAGTACGAATGATGGTTTTTTATGTTTTTAAGTTGTAGAGCAAAGGTTTAGTTTAGGTTTAGCGACAAAACAAAACAGAACGTAAATTAAATACTAACGTAAATATTATAATTAAATTGTGAGTATTATGCGCCTTCAAAGTTATGTATAAACGTATGTATGCATGTATGTACTCGTATCGTGCCCGAATCAACAAGATAGCTCGAGCTTTGTACGTACATATATTATACATATATACATATATATAAAAACACACGATTCGGGGGCGTGAACAGTTCATTTATCGTTAGAGCTATATGAAAATAAAAGACAACAACAACAACAAATAATTAAGTCAGCAACACAAAACGCATTTGCAATCCTAAAAACAAAGAAACAAAAAAGCGTAGCAAAAACCCAAAAGTTAAACATAATTTTTAAATTGATACATATTTAGAGTTATAGGTATTATAAATCAGACTCACATATAAACACTCACATACAAACACTCACAGTTACAGTCACAGTCAAACACACACCAACAGCGAAAGCCCACAAGCAACAACAAAAATGAACTCTCGATGTTGTGAAACTTGATAAAATCATGTTTACGCTAATGCATAATTAAAAAAAAATGAAATAAATATCAATGAAAAAATCTATTCAATAAAAGTGCATATATTAAATACAACTTTACAACTATCCGAATAAAACCTTATTCAAAATAGAACACATGAAATGACACAACATTGCAAAAATCGGCATGGCTGCGCAGTTCTAAAGGACAGACGAATTGATTTCATCCACCTACTAGACTGCCAATATAGCCCCGATAAACACGAACTAATTACCATACTTACTATATTGCGTAATGGAATACTTAAAGCTTACAATTAAGGCAACGTTTTTGTAGAAAAAGAAATGGGAAAATGCATTAAAAAAATTATCATACTCGTAAATGTGAAGCTATGCAGCATTTTACTGTAGTTAGATTTTTTGTATAGAATCAACGTTTGCAGCTAAAAAACAAACCAAAACGATCATTTTACAAGGTTAAGCAACAGCAACAAAGAAATGTTCATTTTTTAATAATAAAGGTAAAGAAAACACTTTGAACAGTGATCAAAAAAATCATTAAACTAAAAACAAATAATTCTAAAATCAAGTAATCTTTGCTATTATTTCGCAGCACTTTTCACAAAATACACATACAAATACACACATGCTATGATTATTATTAGACATGCATTCGATTGAAAATGTATAGACATTATTATTTTTTTTTTACTCGCTATTTATATAAATTATATTTACACGAACAAATAAATAAAGAAAACAAAAAATAAACGTAGACTTAAAAATAAATTTAAAAGGCGATAACATAAAAATTATTTACTTAAATTTAACGCAAACAGACAAAGGAAATTATATAAATTATAATGCAAAAAAGAGTTCAGTCTAAAGCGGCATGAGCTGAAGTTAAATTATATTTGAATAAAAACGAGCATTTTAAAATAAAACAAAAACTTGAGAGCTAAACTAAATATTTTAAACATTTGTCTACACGCAAGATAACAAACAAAAATACAAAACAGGACGAGCAAGCAAAATGATAAATGTATAAACTAAAATGGAATAATAATAAAATTATGTTGTTAATGTTTAAAAAACCTTGTTAAAAAATATTTCAAAATAAAATAAAAATACTGACAATTTAACGATTGACAAAATTCCCAATCTACATACTTATGTACATATACTTGTAGTATGTATGTATGTAGCTTCACTCATTAAAAGTGAAATTTCTTTCAGTTATGACAATAGCCCAAAGCCGCCCAAAAACTGACCCACATATAGATATGGCCTCCCTCAGAAATTCCGTTGACCAATTCAGTTTAGAAATTTGCAGTCGCGCGCCGCATAAATCGCGCCCAATTACCCCAAACGGCCCACCGAGCATGTCACGCGTTTCATAAGCGCTTTCAGCCGCTTTGCATAGCTCATTAGCGTTGTATAACAAGCGCGACGCAATGAGTCTTGGCTTAGCCCTAACCCGGCAACACTCATGATATTGCTGGTGTCATTAAAAAATTAAAGGCACTGCAACAAGTGTCGCCCAAATGCCAGACGTTTCGAAACGAGCCCAGATCCAGACACTTGCCACGTCTGGCCGGCGACACAGCCTGCTCCTGTTTACTGATTGCTGCACCATCGCATTTCATGTTCATGCGCGCCTGGTTTATATTGCTTTTTAAGGTAAAGACCGCGAGCTGTTTGTTATTGTTTTCTTGCTACTGGCCGCAACGCTGCCGGCGACAAGTTCGTTGCCTAAGTCTTTTGTATTGGCTGCCCCACCAAGAACAGCTAGAGCGCAAATCACTTTCGTTTACGTTTCGTTTACAAGTATATTGTGCACTTGCCAAGTGGCATTAAAGAGCCTATTTCATCGCTTGCGTTTCATGTTGTGGTCGCGTGCTAAGCCTGACCGCTAAACAAGTTTTCTACCCGTATTGCTTTGCAAAGCGTAGACGACGCTTTGACGATGACGACGACTGCAAAGAAAAGCCGACCACTTTCTTTGCGGCTTCTTCCAATGTGCGTTGCCTCGCACAGTGGCACGTTTGTTTCTACAAAACGCTATTAAAATTTATCTTGTGCTTGCTAATTATAAATACTTCGCTATAACTATGACTTGGATATCCCATATCCTATATTAGACGAGTGCATTTATAGTATTAGATAGCTTGAATTGTGGTAAGTAAGAACTAAGTATACGAGTATATGATATCTCATAATTCTTCAAATATATAGAACGTGCCCCCAAAATTATCTTGTTATAGGAGCGACTTTAAAAGTAACTAATTTGTGTTTTGTAGGATAGATACGAATCTGTATTTAATATTAAAGATGGGTTTGTGAAGAACCTTATTGGTATCGATTACAATGAAATCTCCTGGTTGATCAGTTTTTTGTTCCAGTAATAAAGCAAGTGGGAATTTCAGGCAATATGCGCGAAATCAAATAAAATGACAGTGGATGGGTGAACTCGATAAAGCTTCATTGTAGATCGAAGAGGAGGAATATGAAATGCTTTCCTGTCACGAGGGATCAAAGTGTTGCAAACTATTTGCTAGGTTACAAACCAAGTAAACGGAGCTTGTAATGTCCGTTTATGCAAGCTTAAATTCCCACTAGTGCTGGCAGGCTTTGCTTCAATTTGTGATCAGGAACGTGCAAGTGAGCCACTGTGCGTTCGATATGTGTGCCTGTTCGCACATAGACTTCAAAACGCTGGCTAACTGGCCAACTGGTTAGCTGTCTGGCTGCTTGGTAGCAAGTGCAATCCATCAGTCAGTTGGCGCAAGCGGCGATTGTTTTTGTCTGCACACATCGGCGCAGCACACTTCAGTTGTCTTCGCGACTTCAAAGAGTGCAGACGTCTGCTCAGCTTTAGCTTCGAAACGATCCGATTCCTGGACGAACGACGGTTCTGTGTGTGTTTGTGCCTTGCAACGTGCATTGAGCGTTAGCCGTTGACAAAAGAAAGCGCCGCTCTGTACGCTGACATGAAGTTAATTGATGTGATTATTCACTTAATTGCTATTTTGATCCTCATCTATTTGCTGTTGGAGTAGAAGTGGCAAAGTCTTTCAAAACTAAACGTAAGAGTCACTCATCTATAACCCGAGCTTTCTAGCAATAACTACGTCAACAGCAGCAACAACAACAACAAGATAGAAATGAAGGTAAGTTAATGGAGTGGCTCGAGTTTGTTGGCTGCTGTAATTAAAAATTTGCGGTAGTTGTGTGTGTCATTAAGAAATGCTGTGAATAATATCATGAAATTGAACGAGATTGAATTTAATTTGCATGCCGATCTGCGATTGCTCGCTTTTCCTTTTACTACCCCAGCCAGTACATTGTGCATCGTACATCGACATTCGAGACTCGACATTCACCTTCAATTTCAATTTCAGCTACAATTGTGGTTTTGGTTACCAACGGACAGACAAACAAACAAACAAACAAACGAACGAACAAACCAGCAAGCAAGCAGACAAACAACGTGTTGCCGCTCATCTTCAATTTCCAGCATTGTCTGCTGGCTGTTGATTGAGTTGTCGATTGTTTTCATTTTTGCTTTGAATATTTGTCAAATCGTAATTGCGGCCAATTGCGCGCACTTTCATTTGCGGCCTCTGCTGATGAAGTGCAAGTGCAGCAGCACATTGAGAGCACCGAGCACTTGATGCGCCAAGTTTTCGCCAAAGCAGACAGCAGGCACCAGACAATGGGTTGGTCGCTTTATGCGCACCAATTACAGTCGCTTACTCTATTGTTGGCACTGCCATTGAATTTACCTCGATGTGCAGCGCAGTGTGGCCGGGAGGTGGTGCCTCAGCTGCGTGGCAGGGACTGGGGACCGGACGGGCCGGGACGTGACGGCAGCAAGTGCCGTTTAAACTTGAAAATAAAACGGTGTATTTTACTCGCATTACGGGATATGCTCGTACATACTCAAAAGTTGCATTTCAAGTTAGCCAAACGCGTGTTTGACTCACAACATACATACATGTAGTATGCATGTAGTATGCTGCTCGTCGAATCGGGGTTAGCATAGCTTTTGTTTGGAGAAGCCACACAGTAGGTGATCCGCACTCTAGTTGTTAAACAAAGCCATATATTAAAAGGAAACAAAGCAATTTTTAATTAAAATCATGCTGCGGACAAACTCAATAGGAGACTGTCTCTGTTTACCGTTTTCAATGAGGTTAGCTCATATATTTAACTACAATTTTCAATAAATTTTCATTTGAATTTTGAATAGAAATCAAAACAATATCTAGCATCCATGTGTCTTTTTCTTCTTTTCTGCGAAGGGAACAACAATTTTTATCTTCACGTACAGCTGTCTCCTATATGATCACTCCATCCATTTATATCAATGGGATATGTAGACAGCGTTAAACAAATCCATCGCTCTCGTACCATTTAAGAAGGTGCAGAGATGGTCGACTGACTGATGCGCTAAACACAATTTTCGATATTGTCCTCCCTAATATCATCGGAACAGAATAAGCTACCAACACACTCTTAAGTCTAAGGGAGTCCTCTTCATTATAGAATGCCATCAGCAAAGGATGACTCCAATAAAAACGGAGAGCCAGATAAGGAGTCTACTCTCCAGACCTAGAGATAAGTTTCCTTTGCCGGGCGCATTCGCAAGTAGAGAAATCACAAACATCGACAATTAAATTGCAGCTCTTTACAAGAAGGAAGTCTGTCATAATGCTGCTTCTATATTCGTCCTTAATTTCGCAACTTATTCAAGATGTTTTGAAATTCACGTAACAAGTTCATTTCTCAAATCTTTTGCCTTTGCATTGTCGCTAGGCCTCCCATTTGGCCAGGCCCACGGAAGCAATCAATGACATAAATTTATTAAATACTTGCACATAACTATTTCGACTTTCTTTAAACAAGCTGCAACACTCAATTGCATACCACAAGGCAAGTTCATTCACCAAGCAACATCAACATCGAGTGACACTCTCTAAGACAGCCCGGCTATTATGAATATGCAAACAAACCGACAAACCGATCTGACAACCGAACAACCAACCAATCCGCCAAATAAGGCAGCAATTTTGTCTCAATTACGTCTGCGATTAAGCAAACGCAGCACGTAATCAATAACCAGGCACATTGGCCATTGCCCATTGGTTAGACGTCCGTTTCACCCGAAAGTAATGCTTGATTGACGGACTGACTGCCTGACTAACGGTAATACATACATTGTCATTGCCAGTGTCGTTATGCCTACATACATACATATATATGTATACATATATGCTAAACATATATATATATATATATATATATATATATATATATATATATATATATATATATATATATATATATATATATATATATATGTACATTTTTCTTCGCCCCTGGCCATCTCTTACATATGTACATGTGCCGGACAAGTGAAATTTTTGATGTTACAATTGGCCAAATTATTGGCTTCCAGTAACCAATATGGTTGTCCATCACTCGCCCGGCCACAGAACCAATCGATCGGGCACGCTTTTCACTTTCATTCTACGACGACATCGCATTCGTCAAGTCACGCACGTTCACATATCGTTTGATTCGTCGAATCGGCCTCAGTGAAATGCACTTACTGGGACAACTCTATAGGCGGAATAACTTTTTGAAGACTTTCTAAGCCGGCTGAAAATATGAATTTCGATAGATCGATATCGTAATATACACCGAATATTCTATACTCCATACCAAGTACATATATAGTGTAAGTTAAACTACCTTTAAAATCCTATATACGATGAGAAGCACCTTCTTCTGTTATTCAATAATATATTAAATATATTAAAGTAAAATCTCTTTTTCGATGGATTGTTCTGGTTGTCATATAATATTCAATAACATAGAGCTTTTAATTCAATCTTAAGATGCCACATCATTTTTGTGGGGCCTAGCGTAACTCAACGAACTAAAAGAAATCCCACAATACATTGTGAGATCGTTCGTGATTATACTTGTATGACTCGGTTCGAATCACGGCGCCAATATCACCGCATAATGCATGCTTTAAAAACTACTTGCAGTTGTAAAGATTCTGTATGATTTCATATCAAGAAAAAGAGTCAAACTTTTCTGTTATGGCCAAATCTGCAGACCGATTCCACAGTATAATATTAGAAACATAAAACAATCTACATTTTTAATTTTTATGTCAAATTTGGTATTTTTAATTTTTTTTTAAGCCTCACCAGTGTGACATACATTAATTTATAATACAGAAATTTAAAAGAAATTTTATTGTCCTACTACGAACTAATAAACAAACCATATTTATCCCTTTATATACAGACTGGTACAAGATAAAACGCTTTTAATCGTGACGAACTATAAAAAAGTCGATATTAGAATATAGTATATCTTTATATGTACTGTCAGCAATGTTCCATTTTCCTTATAAACTTAATGAATATCATGAACATCAAACTGAAAATGGTTTCTTTACTTATAAGGGACCGGTATGTTTGTTCGCTGACAAACGAACTGCCATCAGTTGGTTTGTCGTGTTAGGTAAATGTCTCATAACAAGCTTGGGCTAAGAGTCTTAGAATAATGTTTCAGAAATAAAACAGCATTGGTATGAAAATGCCATTTGCCGTGTCAATTACATCAACTTGTAGATATTGGTTTTTCAGGAAGTTACTCTGTAAAACCAAATTTATGCTCTTAGTCAAATGCTTAGAATAAGGAAAGGGTAAAATGTAGAAGAAAGAGCTTTGCGTTAATAGTGTTAAGATGGAAGGATTGAAGGTCCACGAGGTATCTTTATTTATTGTTTAAATGGCAGAAGCTTTGATGTAGTTATTCAATTCAATGCAATGCCCTTGCGTTCGTTGCAGCGTTTGCATGCGTTTCGCTAAGGCATTTACTACTGTAACTTTAAGTATGTGTACATATAGTACATATATCGGGATGTGCCATGTGCATTTATGTATTTCTGTAGCTTCAACATAAACCAATGTATAACACTTTGTTTGGATGTTTGTTTTCGAACCGCACTTAAGTAGCTTTGCCATCGGTCATTTGGTAAGCCGTGACGACGTGACGGCACATGGCGTGGATTCACGGCAGGCAACGTGATAAAATTTTAGAAACCGCCAATTTTTACAAATTAAGTTCATTACTGTGGTAGCCGCGACTGGCTCGTTGAGCGATTACACGCTCAGCGCGTTGTCCAATTGTCGGATTATCGTTAGCAGAGCTTAGAAAGTTTTGTGTTCGAAGTGTGCATTAAGTAATTAAAATTTTGATGAGTTTTCATTTTAATTAATAGTTCCCAGTCACTCATGTCTATGCCCTTTTTGTTTCTACAGCCTTTCGTCATTCTCACCCTGCTGTTGGCTCTGGCCAGCTGTGAGCCACCAATTTCCAAACGGCCACTTATCTTCAGCAATTGGCCACCAAAGAGTGCCAAGCAATTGTCCCAGCCCGGGAAGCAGCGCACACTAGTTGTTCAAATTCGCAGCGATCAGCCCGTGCCGCTGATCCTTAAGGGTCGGCCAGGTTCACAAACACATGCGCACCAGCACCAGCATCAACATCAGCTTCAGCAGCATCATCAGCTTCAGCATTCACATCAGCTCCAGCATCAACTAAATCATGGTCTTCACACTCAAGTGTTGTCGCATCCTCACTCTCACGCTCATCTGCACGCTCACACGCACATGCTTCACGCGCCGCCTCTACAGCATCATCATTTGCGTGGACCACGCCCACTGAAACTCAGCGCCCCCGTGTATCTGAAACCGTCCAGTAATGTGCCGATGCAACAGCCCAGCTCTGTGCGTAAGCCTCTGAAGATTAAGCTCAGCAGTTCGAAACCCAAGTCGAAGCCAACCTTTGGCTACGAGAAGCCCTTCAAGTATGAGAAACCTTCGGCAGTGGCCTACAGCGAACTTCAAAATCTACCGGTAAGTTCTCAACTAAGGTGAAAATTTGGCCTTGGAGTTGTGCAGTCTACTTCTATTTGGTCAACTTGGTGTCTCGCAAGAAGAAAATATTCAAAAGTAGCCATTAACAGACTGCCATCTTAAACAACACTATTTTATACTATCAGGCCTATTTGGTCATAAATGCTCAATCCGAATTAGATTTACACTATTTGCATTCCGAAACAAAATAGTTCGAAAAGTTTTATTCTGGAAAGTCAAACAAATGCTTTCAGACACGTATTTTTCCCCCGTTCTGGTTAACGAGACAGTTCACAAATACTGTAAGCGAATGATTTAAATTATTTAAATTATTTATTTAAATTTATATTCCAATATCTAAAAATAACATAGTTATTGTCGAAGGTCATACCGAAACTCAGCCACGGGATTTAATTGCGCAGGAATTACATTTTCTGTTTAGTATACATATTGTATTTAAATATATATGTCAGATATATATCAGTTACATTTTTAAAGGAGTAGAAAATACAAACTTTCTTAAAACTGTATAAGCCTACTTGAAATGAAGTGAATTCGAAGCCTGATTTAAAACTTGTTATTAGGAGAGCCGATCTCTTTGCAGAATAGTATTTGGTTACATTTAATAAAAAACAGTACAAACAAAGGGTTCTTTTCGAATTCGGCCCTATTGTTAGTTTGGCAATTAAATTTTGGTTATCTTAAAAAATATATATTAAATATGTATTAAGTATGTAAAGCAAGATTATTTAGTTAAAATTATTCAAACCCCCAGTATATAAGTATAAAAAGATACAGAGCTTCCGGTGGTATGAAATAGAACGAATTAATTATGAAATACAGTTATTTTATACAAATAATAATAATGATCGATGAGTCGACAGATTTAAATTAAATGGAGCCCAATAGAACAGCGATTTAGTAGACAAAGTAGCACAACTCTAGCAGAGGTCTGCTTACAAAATGAAATCAACTTTAATCAACAACAATCAAAAAACACCTTTTAAATACTACTTAGTTCAATTAGCCACAATTTTAGAAAACCCTCTTCTAAAATAAGCGTTCTCGTGCGCTGGAAATGGGGTAAATATATGTTTATGTTAGGAAATATTTTCTGCAATGCAAATTTGTTCGTTCTTAAAAGGAAACTATTCCCTATAATAGAGGATTTTAATTAAATGCGTCTTACAAGTAGATACAGATACAATTAGGTTGTTGTATTTAAAGTTGATTTCGCTCTGTGGACAGACCTTTGTAAGCATTTACACATACATACATACAATCATACATGAAACATATCCTCAACAGTTGGAAACGAACCCCAACTTCATATCCGAGCACTTTGCACCCATTTACACGGTTCCTGCACCGAATCTGGCACTGCACGACAATCAGCTGCACGAAAACAGCGGCACCGCCTACCTGCCCCCAACCCAACAACAAGAACACTCTTCCCCAACGAGCACACTCCGACCACAAACCTATTTGCCACCCACACCACAATCCTCAACTTTGGGCAGCCAGTACAGCGTACACGAGGACGAGACCAATGACCAAACCATACGCGATCCCATTTCGGGCTCGCAGAAATTCTTTGCCCCAGATCCCGATCCCTCGCTGCCCACATCGAAGATCCGCCCGGCCACTGAGTCCTTCAACACGCCAAGCAACAATAAGCCATTGCCCGCAGATGTGCAGAGCAACCACCTGCCGGCGCCAGCCCAGCCCCTGGTCCAAATAGTGGGAGCCCAGGCAGCTGCCCAGACGGCTCCAGAAATCTATCCCATTCAGTTCGCTCAGCAAGCGCATCTACAGCCTTTCATTGCGGCTGTGCCCGCAGCACCGATACCCATCTACAATCCCACGTATCTCGTCACCCAATCCAATCAGCTGTACACGCAGCACAAGCAACACCTGTTCAAGCCCAGCACGGAGCACATCATTGAGACGGGGTATGTGAACGCGGATTTGACACAAGAGGTGGCCAGCAACGGACAGATCTTGCAGGCTGCCAAAGATCCCCATCACAACATTCATCCCGTGCTGGACACTGCACCTCAGTTTGCCGCGCTCATTGCGGCTCCCGCGCTAGGCGAAGAGGCAGTATATGAGACGGCGCCGTTCCACCTTCCTAATGTGGCGTCAGCCGTGAGCGCGACGCCACCGGAAAGCGGCTTCGTTGTTTCCAACTACTATGCCAACCCACACGAGTCTTCGCAACTGTTCCAGGCCTATGCCGAGGAGGAGGCTCGTCACCAGCAACTTGAAACACAGCATGCCGCTTTAGAGTTGCAGAAGCAGCAACAACTGCACTTGGAAGAACTGAAAGCTCAAGTGCAGATTCAGGAGCAACAACACCAGCAGCAGCAGCAGCAGCTCCGCCTGGAGGAGCTGGAGGCGCTCAAAGCGCAGGCCCAAGAGCAACACTTCTTGCGCCAGCAACAGCATCAACAGCAGCAACAATTGCAACTGTTGCAGTTGCAGCAGCAACAGGAACGGCAACAGCAACAGCAACAGCAGCCGCAGCCACAACCGCATCAGCTTGTGGCCGAGGATCCTGCAGCAGCCGCGTTTGAGGAGCACCAACGTTTAGTGCAGCAACAATTGGGAAGCAATACGCCATTGCGAATCTTCGTCCCGGACGAAGATCCGTCTACTGAAACGGTAAGAGGAAACTACGAAAAAACTTACCTCTAACCCACCCTCTAAACTTGTTCGAATAATTTACACATTACAGCGACTCCAGAAACGCTCTGACAATTTTAAGAAGGGCACTGTGGAGGATGCTTTAGTAAGCGCAAGTAGCAAGACACCGGACCAAAAGGATTCTTTCGAAGTTACGTCGTCCGTGGAAGTTTCCGGGGATCACTCTGAAAAGGCCAGTAAATAGTTACTTGTGGTTAAGTCGTAGTCTTAAGCTCTGTGCATTATTTAATTTCACGAAACATTTGTACTCATAGAGCGGACAGTCTGTAGTTTAATAAAAAAATATTTATTTTGATTTGTAAATGTTGAGATTTTGTATGAAATATACGGGTAAGTCTTAAAAATTGCTGGATCTAAAAAATATCCTAAATGTGCTAAGTGTATCCAAGACCATCTATTGCATTTTTTCGACTGATACTTTCTGTAGGAATAAAATAACAAATAAGCTGCAAAACGTTATTTATAATTGCTTTGCTGCGTCACTGAATGGTAGTGCTTTTTATACTCTTCACATAAAATGTACAAGAGTATATTAGGTTTTCGGGAGCTGAAAATTTAACCGGCAGAAGGGGCGTGGCAGACCCCACAAAGTATATACATATATTCTTGATCAGCATGACCCTGTCTGTCCGTCTGTCCGTATGAACACCTGGATATCAGAGACTATAAGAGGTAGAGACACCAAACTTTGCAAAAAGATTCCTTATGTATGTACGCTGAGCAAGTTTGTTTTATTTTTTTGATTTTCACCCCCACGCATTTGCCAAAGCCGCAACTCCCATTCTTGTTCCATTCTATGGCTCTAGACGTAGATGCCCTTTCGAAAAGATCTTGCAAACGTTATTCGCGTTCATCGGCATATTCAGCTGCATTTTTATACCCTGTACCCGTAGGGTAAAAAGGGTTTATTAGGTTTGTGCAAAGTATGTAACATGCAGAAGGAAGCATCTCCGACCCCATAAAGTATATATATTCTGAATCACCATGGCGAGAGAAATGTCCGTCCGTCTGGATGAACGCAAGGATCTCAGAAACTATAAAAGCTAGAATAACCAAAGTTGGCATCCAGATTTTCCGAGGTCCGAGAAAGGACGAGTTTATTTTATTTTTTTAATTTGCTGCTATGGCGCATATAACTCAGTGGCGGAAGTTTACTTGGGTACAGGGTATTACACTGTCGGGCTTGCTCGGCTGTAGCGTTATAAATAATATGCAGCATTTTTGAACGCAGTTAATAAACTCGAAGCATACCTAAGAAGTAACACAATGTAACGCACACATTATACATATATCGCGAGTTATACATATATCCAGGAGATGGATTCGACCTCTCCAGTTTGTTCTTGGGTTTGATTAACTGCTTCGTCTGTTCAAATCATGAAAATTTACCAACTGCTTTATTTGTAGTGGAAAACAAGAATGTTTTATTCAATTCAACAGAACTTCCTAAGCACATGACTAAGTAAATACATTTACGAGAAATTCTGCTGACTTCGCTATAGCGGTGCTTCGTTGTTGGTCAAGCACTCCGACGCAGTTTAGAAATAAGCCTATTCAGCATCAACCGATGATTGCCTGTTGGTGCACGGGGTGGTTGTGCTGAGGGGGCATGAGCATGGAACATGGACGCAGCCGCCAAGATGAAAAAGTGCTTACTCAGAAAATATGATAATTCTGAACGTTATTCAAGCGTAAAGCGATTCAATTCATAACGCGGAGATATAACACAAATTTATTTTCAACATTTTCAGCGGAAAAGAGCTGCAACTATTAAAATAACACACATATGATTAAAATAATATATAGACCACCCTGTACTTGTACAATAACCAAATTGTGGTGCAGGTGCGTAGACCGCAGGATATGTGTAACACCCCAGAGCTGTATGCAATATGTCAACATCTTGGAACGCCTTTCTATCAGCGAGTACAGTCTGAGAAGCTTAAGTTGTTTTCTGGTTCTTTTACGTGTGGAAATCATGTAAGTCGTCTGTTCAAGATGAGTCCAAGGCATTTAACGGCGATGTGTAGCCGTTCGGTTGGAATAATTCAAATGCAATGATGCTTCCGTGTTCTGACTCTTTATTTATAGTCAGTGAAGTTCGCTGTTTTGCAGAATATTGGATGTCTAGAATTTCCAGGTGTAACAATATATGCAGATTCATCTGCAAAGGTTCGGCTGCCTTGAGAACTCCTACTCTAATGCTTTTAATGACCCTTCAACGTAAAGGCACCTATCATCCTTGTTATTATTCTTCCCCCTCGGCATCGAATGTCTCTTTTATAGAAATCAAAGAATGCCGATTAGCAGTAGTTTTTGCGTTTTGCGTACTCCACAGTACATTTTAGAATACATTTGCCATTCAATATTATGTCTGCTTATTGGCATTTTCACTTGCTACCAATCTACAAGTTGTCCCTTCAACTATTTAGTAACCTTTCATAGATTATACTCTGGCCTTGTTCGTACAGTTCCGCCAAGTATTTTGGAGATTCAGTATTTGCCTTTGCTGCAAAATAAACAAGAGAGAACGCTACAGTCGAGCAAGCCCGACAGTGTAATACCCTGTACCCATGTAAACTTCCGTCCCTAAGTTATATGCGCCAATAGCAGCAGCAAAAAGAGGAAGAAGAGCGAACTTGTTGCTGCAGTTTGGTGGGGTTGTACTGGCGAGAATTTGTTTTGCTAATAACTTTTCTTAGAATTGACCGAATTTTACACAACAGTAGACAATTATATATAAATTATGTGTGCAAAGTTTGGTTTAGGTAGCATTTGAAATGTGGACGCTATTGACGAAATTCTGTAACGGGGGAAGGGGGGGAAAATTCCAAAAAATAAAATAAACTCGTCCTTACTCGGACCTAGCACAATCTGGATGCCAACTTTGGTTATTCTAGCTTTTATAGTTTCTGAGATCCTCGCGTTCATCCAGACGGACGGACAGACGGACGGACATGTCTAGATCGATTTCTCTCGTCATGCTGATCAAGAATATATATACTTTATGGGGTCGGAGATGCTTCCTTCTGTATGTTACATACTTTGCACAAACCTAATATAACCTTTTTACCCTACGGGTACAGGGTATAACAAAGCCAATGTTTCTTTTGAGTCGCATCTGGCCAATCACCAGGTCGACTGACAACTACATGATTATGGAAACTACTACAAGACAACTGAATCCAAAAAGGACTCCCACTACTTCGATGTCTGATGTCAAGAATGGCGCTGGAACCCCCAAGGAAGCAGACGGGATCGGCAGACCTAAAAAAAAGACGGCAACCTGGCGGCGGATGCACCCTTCAGGAATTCTCCCAGAAACAACAACACCACATGGGACACAGGCAGACAGACGGCTAGAAATAGAGAGTGTTAAGATTGGAAAAATGTCCTTGTAGTAGCCCTAAGCTCCCAAGTGGAGTACAAAGGAAATAATAAAAAAAATGTTTCTTATGTGTATTCAATTCAAATGAAATTTGTGTTTTTGGCAAACGCTTTGCCTGTCTCACCTTAGCTTTAATTACAATATTTAATAACACATTTCATATATATATTTATTAATATGCACATACATATGGTGTGCTGCTTTAGCTACAGCAGAGTGAAAGCACTGGATCCTTGGGCTTTTAGGTTTCATCGTCCTGCAGCTCCAGAAACTGCATGCATGTATCGCGAGTGCAGTCGCCTTTATTATTGAATAGGAATTTATAGTAATGGCCATCGGCGCAAATGGCTATTAAAAAATATATTTTAGTGGAACACATCAGTATAAAAAATGTAAGCAAATAAATGTTTTTGATCATTGTTTTCAAAACTCACCGACAACAGCGTTTGGCTCGGCGCCAAAGGCACAAATACAACGCGGTCCTTGTGGTATGGAGAACTTGACGAAGCTCCATTGACTTAATAAATACTTGGGTATGATGGGCAGCGACGACTCACGCTGCTTGTTGTCTTCGAGATTAAAGACATGTATGGTGCCATGATCGGAGGCCACCACCACCATGGTGGACTGGTGATTGAAATTGATGCAAAAGATGTTTGCGTGATTGCTGCCACGCCTGAGTTCCGAAACCTTCTTGCCGTTCTCCGTGTCGAAAATACGTATAAGAGTACCCTTTTCGCCAGCAGTAGCCAGACGAGTACCCTGCAAGTTCAGGGCAATGCAACTGATGGCTGCCTCGTGGGCTATGACCTCCAACGGTGCACGCTCCGTATTGGCAAGATCGACGATCTGTACATGGCCCGTGCGTCGACCGGGGAATGCAAGTAGACTTTTATTGCTGTGTGGACAAAGGACGCACAGACCGTTTGGGTTGGCGCTCGTCTCATAGACGTGAAGCTGCTGCGGCTGTTGTGTGAACGTAAACACTTTGATGACGCCCTCAAGCACAACGACAATGCGATCGCGTCGCAGACGAACTGCGCGAACAGGCTGATTGAAGTCCAATGAAATTGCCGGAGATTTCTTTAAATCATCCCACACGATGACTTTGTTAGGCGGATACAACGGTCGTATGCCACCGCCAACTAATGCCAGATAATTGCATCGGAAAAGCATTTCCACATGGCTAAGACCGCCTGCAAGTGCCAAGACAATATACAATTTTATGTTAGACAAGACAATAGGGCGTGAGATCTCCCAGGGCTCTAACTCGCGCACACACATACATTAAACTAAAATGAAACTGGGGCACCACACAAATGAACACATGTATGTAAATATGCATACCTTCAGGAAAATATTGGCGTTCCTTTTCCTTCAGCGGGTCGCAATTGTAAACACGAAAGCCCGTGTCCGTAGCACAAGCAAAGCATCCTGCGTCGCAATTAAAATAATTGGGCAGTCCGACAAAAAAATGAAAATACATAATATATACATTTTATTTGATAGCGGGTCAAGCTCGTGAGTGTGTGAATATGTAAACAACAGACCTTGATCCTGGTTAAAACCGGCATAAAGCAGTCCATTCCCATACGGATTTTGCTCCGTCAAATTCATTGTTCCAAGTTTGTGCACCACCGATCTTTCGCTGATTTTCGGAACTCTGCTGTTCTACGAATTCAATCAAATTTAGGCAGCGGTGATTTTTTCTTCGTATAAAAACAATGGTAATGCGCGTTTAAGTGTGACCAAAGTTGAAGAACGAGAAAAAGCTATGGGTCTCATGCAAATAAATTAGTAATAGCGTTATTGCTCAACACTTGACCTCTAAAATGCATGGACATGCCATTCACAAGGGACGCGAACATAGTCTGGGAAAAACAAATAGATTGCTATATTTATGCATTTAAAAAATTGATTGTGTCGAGTTAAAATTGCGCTATAATTATGGAAATGTCCACAGAAATAGACGCGGAAATCGGCATCGAGCCCTGCCGAGCGTGTGGCATCTTCTATACGATGGAGGAGGCGATAATTCGCCCAATGTTTAATAAATCTGGAGAAGGCGGTATCGCTAACATGCCGGAGATTCTAAAACAATTGTCTGCCTGGCACATTGAGGTGGGTGATAAAATAAAATAAGCCTATTTGAAGAAAATATATAAATGCCATCTTGCAGGTAACTCAGGATGACGGGAGACCGCAATACATGTGCGTAGGCTGCATAGGAGAGTTTAACAAGATTTTAAAATTCAAGAGCAGTTGCCTGGAGACTCAGGAGCATTTTGTCGAATTCGATTATAAGCGGCTACACAATGGCATTGTCATAAAGAGTGAAATAAAGCCTCCGGAGCAGTTTTGTGGCTTCATTTATTTAGACACAGACGAGGAGGAAGCCGACAGCGAGGAGGACGGCAGCAGGCGGGTTTGTGCTCCTTTAGACATACCGCATGTGCCCATCAAACTGGAACATATGGCGAGGGTGCCAGCGGGCCAAGATGAGGAAATTAAATTTCAGCCATCTGCCGAAACCACTGCTGACACAATGAAAAGCGTTTTATCTGATGAGGACACCTTTCAAGTTGTCAAAACTGAGCAATTGGCTACTTTAGCCAACGGATATACCTTGCCATCTACATCGGATATAACTGTAATTGATGACAGTGACGACGACGACGCCATTATAAAATTTACATACGACGATGAAGATGCGCTACCACCAGCGCCAATATCTCAGCCCTCATTCCTATGCAAGTTGTGCAATCATGAATCCGAAACGCAAGATCTCCATATGGAGCATATGCAACGCGTTCACTTGGTCAAAGACAGCGAGTGTCGCATTTGTGGCAAAAAGTTTACCAATTGCTCGGAGTCGCGATTCAAGTTCCATATGAAATTTCATAAGCTAAACAAACAAATAAAATGCACCACTTGTGGCTTCCTCTGCAACTCGAAAAACTCACTTAAGGAACACAAGCTGGCGATGCACACACGTGTCAAGTGTAAACTGTGTGGCAAGAGTAAGTGATATCTGTATAATGCTTTCGAAGTCACCCAATATCTGAATAATTTTATGCTGTTGCAGAAATCAAGCATAGGCTTTTACAAACACATTTGGCTCAACACTCTAGACGTGAGTAATATTGTGGGTTTGATTAGGTTCCGAACGAGCACTAATTTCTTGTTTCGTCCCTGTAGAGCTGGATGTGGAACTTGCTAGGAATATGAGCAACCTGTCAACACCACATAGCGACACAAGCATAAATAATTCAACGAGCTCACCTTCCTTAATAGCTCAAAACTCCAGAAGTAAGTAAAATAAAAAACAGGATTGATTATGTTCGAAGTGAGCCATAATTTGTTTAATCCCTGTAGATTTGGATGTGGAACTTGGTAGGAATATTAACAACTTGTCGACACCACTACGCGACACAAGCTTCAATAATTCAATGAGCCCTCCTTCCTTAATGGCTTCGCAATCCAGACGTAAGTTAAAATTTGTACTTATGTTGGAAGGCGGCTATAATTTGTTTAATCCCGTAGTGTTGGACGCGGAACTTGCTCGGAATATGAACAACTTGACCACACCACGAACTGACACAAGCTTGAGTATGAGCTCTCATTTCATAATGGGGCCGCAATCTAACCGTGAGTTAAAATTCGTGTTTGATTATGTTGCGAATGGGTTATAATTTGTTTAATCCCTGTAGCGTTGGTTGTGGAACTTGCTGAGGATATGAACAACTTGTTCACACCACAAGCTGACACGAGCTTCAATAATTCAATGGGATCTCCTTTCATAAAGGGTCCGCAATCTAGCCGTGAGTTAAAATTCGTATTTGGTTAAGTTGCGAATGAGTTATAATTTGTTGAATCCCTGTAGAGTTGGATGAGGAACTTGCTCGAGATATGAACGATCTTACATCACAAAACGAGCCAAACGCCAGTAATTCAATAAGCCCACCTTGTTTAATGGAATGCGCGTTTTGTTCACTCCAATTTGATGATGTGCAGCAATTGCAAGCACATGTATTGGACACACACAGAAATGCTCAGCTACCAACGAGTGCGACAAGTGAGTTTCCTGCTGCAGTCGACGTAATGTCATTGAATATTAGTCCTGATGGAGCAGCTAGCTTTCAAGATGTATCCCCATTATTTGCTGATCATTGGGCTAGTGAATCAACAGCTTCGGAAACGGAAAGTAGGCCGCTTTCCACTACTGAATCTCAGATATCAACGAGCAAAGTACTATGCAAATGTCACATTTGTGATAAGGTGTTCGATTTGCAAATTAAACTAAACAAACATTTAAAGACGCATCAAAAGAATCCCTTTTGATGGGCCATTTACATACTAATAGAACAGCCAACCGACTGGATTTTGTAGTGATTAAGATACAAAAACTACATATAACTACATAGCTTAGATTAACTTAAGTGCTGCTCTTAAATTCCACCCTGCCATATATGCATTATATTTCAGTTCAACTTTTTGATTCAATATTTAATAAGATGTTTCTACAAGCGCGTTATTATTACAATTTTTTAACGTAGGTATATATAACATCCGATCGTTAATATTGCTCCACAATGCAATAATTATTTGTGTACAACTTTCAACCTATAGATCTAGAAAAACTTTACAAATCTAAAAGAACGACAAACAGAAGTGAAAGAAAAACTGCAAAAATACGCTCGCTCTTGCTGTTGGTAGCCTCTGATTTCCCTTTAATTTCCGCTGCCACTGCCCGTATTAAGCACTGCTTGCGGCAATATTTTTTGTGTCAATGTTTTGCCGCCTCCATCTGTGGCAGCTACAACCGTGGAAGATGCCGCGACGCTCACCTTGGCGCCCGTTGCACTTGACATCGGAATTACTTTCATGTTGGAAAGCGGCTTTAGGTTTACGCCCTGCAGCGTTGGCGAAAGAAAGAGCTGACCACCACCACTTTGCACAGCAAAGACCACGTTGTTGGAGGATGTGGTAATATTACTGGCGATCTTGTTCCCACTACCACCACCTGAGGCGGCTGCCACAATCACATTCTTGCCCGATTGCAGCCGTAACGTTTGACCACCGGAGCCAATGACTAACGTCTTCGGGGAACTTGCAATGCCACTGGACGCTGTTGGCAGGCTGGTCGTTGTGCTTGTGCTGCTGGTCACAGTGGTTCCCGTTGCTGTCGACACATGCTGGAGGCGGAGTAACTGGTTGCCCATAATTACAGTTTGCATGGGTGCACTGACAACGGCGGGGATGGAGGAATTGCTGGAAGTGGTCACTTGACGTGGCAGATTTGTCTGTAAGAGAGAAACAACATAGATGAGACTAGTTTTCGAGTAAGGACAAAGCTAAGAAAGAACCAGCTTAGGGTGCAATGTCAACTTTTATAAATTGTTTATCCTTATTGTGGACTTGTGTCCAAAGCTTATGTTAAATATATTCCATTATTTATGGGCAAGGACCTTATTTGAATGCTATGAATACATGCTAGTATGTAAATATGCCTACAGTATTACGAATAATAAAACAGAAATACGTCTGATCAAGAGGGAACTGAAATATTTGCTTCGAAATACATTTTTCTTTCTATACAAGTATGTGGGCTACAATCTTGCTTCACCACTAAGTAGTTCATACCTTTAGTTGGTACCTAAACTGTGCTTTAGATATATACCATGCGTTTGTTTCTACGAACTTCGCAATCGAAACTTATCGGTTCAGTCAAAATAAACAGGGCATAATATGTAAAATAATATAATAGAGTGCATTGACTATTTTCTTTGTCGAAGAATTGTTAGTGCCATTGTAGTATTATGAACTAGGCAATTCCTGCAAAGCCGTAGTTGGTGGTGGTGCTTTACTTACCGCACTCTGAAGCTTTACTGTCTGGCCCCCGATGACAATGTTTTGGAGGTGCGTCGCTCCGCCTAGGGGACGCACTGTCGTTGAAGTGGACGTACTGGCGGCCACGTTCTTAAGAGTCACACTGCCGCCGGCATTCAGTGTCTTGGCGTGTAGAACTAAAGGCTTGCCCTGCAGCTGGGTCGTTCCTCCAGGGATTACCGTCGTCTTGCCAATAATTTTGGGCATGGCGTTTGTGGTCACAATTCGATGACCCGTGGCTAATTTTGTCGTGGTTGCGCCAGAGGTTACGAGACGCTGTTGGGTTGCGTTGCCTGTCGCCAATGTAATTACATTTCGTGGCGATGCCACCACTTGAGTGGCAACACTGGTGCTGGAGGAACTGGTGGCCAGTTGGAAAATGTTGGAGGTAGTTAGAACTTTGCCAGCGCTCGCTGTTTGCTTTTGCAGCAAATTGTCCAGAGTGATGATCTGGGCAGCTTGTGGCACTCCTCCCGTTGTCGCTGTGGTCACTGAAGGTCGTGCTACACGGGTCCCTTGTGTTTGCGAAGCCACCGCAACTGTGGCTGGAGCTGAGCTCACGGGCGTGCCGCTCTTTGCCTCCACAATCGGCTTGAACTGCATCGTCTGCTGCTTGAAATTTTGCAGTAGTATCCGCTGTTGCTGAGGCGAGAGATTCGCGGTGTTTAAGGTTTTAGTCGACGTGGTCGTGGTCGTGAGTATTTTAGGCTGCGTGATGAGCTTGGACTGCACGGTGCCGGTGTTTGAGGCAGCGGAGGTGGGCAGAGCTTGAAAGACGATGTTCTTGTTCGAAGAAATAGCCGTGTTGCCTGCAGAGAAAAATTCAATTTTTAAGTCTAGCATTGAAGGGGGGTTTTAAGACGGAGTCTTAGTTTTTTCTTGAACGCTCATAACTTAAAATCAAACTTACCAACGAGGATGCGCTGTGGCGTCTGCAGTTGCTGTGTCGTGCCAGTCCCTGTTGTCGTAGCAGCCGCCTTGTTCAGCAGTTGCTTCTGCTGCAACGTTGCAAACGCCTGCGGGGACATTTTGACAATCGTGCCGCCTGTTCCAGTGTTGGGATTGGTCGCCGACTTATTGCTGACTATTGAAACAGCACCAATTTTTTGCTGCACCGGTCGCACTGTGGTCTGAGCAAGCACACGTGGTCCAATAATTTGCACAGTGGGATGCTTAGTGGTTGTAGCCCCAGCCGATGTTGTTATTGGTTGGGCAGTTGTACTGTTGGTGTTGTTGCTGGCCGCGGGCAACAGTCGGATAATGTTTTTGGGCATTTGAGGACGTGGCGAAATGGCGCTGACTGTTAATGATTTGGGAGCGGTATCCAGCAGAATGTGTTGCTGTGGTTCCTTGGCTTGTTGTTGCTGCTCCAAAGGAATGATAAAGTTGCCCACCGGCTGTTGTTGTTGTTGTTGCGGCTGCTTTTGCTGCTGTGGAGGATTTGGCGATTTGACCTTGAGCGCTGCCGCTGCCGTTGCTCCTGTAGTTTTGGTCGTCTGGGGGCCCAAATGGTTAATTATAATGGGCTTCTTAATGGCTAGCTTCTTGGTAGCTGTAACCGGACTGTTGGTTTTGCTTGTACCGGCTGCGGGCGAGGTTGTGGCAACGTGTACCGTTTGCAGGCCACTGGGTGTTGATACCAAAATTGGGGTTGTCTGGCGAGCGGGACTGATCTTATTGGTCAGAGGGGTCTGGGGTAGGGGGAAGGTGTACTGCTTATTTCCATGTGGCGTTTTCTGAGCCATTTGTTTGTCCACAATGGTGACCACACCACTCCTCTGGGCAAGATGCAGCGGAGATTTGAGCAGAGATTTCTGTTGTTGTTGCTGCTGTTGCTGCTGCTGCTGTTGGAGGCTAGGCGCAGGTATGTTATATTTGAGGGGCGGCACTGGCGGACATTTGGTGGGCAGGGTCTTCTTCACTAGCAACGTTGCCGCTGGCGAGCCCGTGGGTGTTACTTTTGTTGCTAATGTTGTAGCTGCAGGCACCAGGGCAGGTAGTTCTGATTGCACAGATCCCATGGCCTGCTCTATGCCCAGTTCGCCCTCCTTCTTTGGTTTGCCCTTCGCTCTTTGCACCTTGTGCTGCTGCTTTTTGACCAGCGATTGGTTGTGTTTATGCATGCGCTCGAACTCATCTTCGCTGCGATTACGGTGCAAATATATCCATATCTTGCGCTTGGCATCGTACCGGACACAAGGGTCTAATCCGCCATGCATGCGATCCAATGCCCCACTCACTATCGTCTGGAGCACATTCTCCGCGGCATTATGGTTAATGTACTGAGAGCACTTGAGGAGCTCTGAAATTTCCGCTCGTGTGCCTTCGCCATTGGGCAAACGGGCCGTTGCATCTCGCACCAGAGTCAAAATTGTCACATATGGTGGTCTATCATCCACCATGACGGTGTGTCCGCGCGCCTTGTTCAGCGAGAAAGTCTGCGTGTAGATGCCCTTAACGGGGCCCACAACACTCTCGTAGCCATGCATGCGATAAGTAAAGGGCCGATGTGGTTGCTCAAATCGCAATCGTTCTTGCCGCTGAAATTCGAGTGTTTCCGCTTGAGTCGCCGTGCGCACCGTCCAGCTGGTTGGACAACGAGGCGGAGGTGTTGGCGATGCCAACAGCGCAAAATTATCTACAGGCACTTTGCCAATAGATTCCACGGGACTTAGCAGTGCGTTAGACACAACCACTTGTCCTTCTACTCTAGGTGACGTCTTCAGTGATTGTCCCAGGGCTCGGGGACTATGTGTTGGGGTGTGCTCTTTGAAATCTTTGCGCCGCTGCAGCCAATAGTTGCATAATGTCAACAAGCGTGCATCCGAATCTCGGCCAGCTCCGATCCATTGATATATATTTAACTGGGTCTTGTGCTCTATGTATGGCACATACTCCGCAGGTAGCGCGGCAAAGTCGCCAGAGAGAAAATTAATGCCCGACTGCAGGAGCACAGTCCAATCCGGCAAAGCGCGATACCAATCATTGGACGTGGAGGAGGGCGTGCCAGATAGCACGTTGTTGTCCTTCCATGCAACTAACATCGTCTGCAGCTCGGCATAGGTCATTCGATGATTAGGCGTGGCTACAAAGAAATCGCGCAGGAGCGAGAAAAAGCTGGACTGCTGAGATGACTCCGATGAAGAGGATAATATTGTAGGCTGCTGCTCACGCGTGGGTGAACCAGTGATATGAGTGGTGGCTGTGGTGGTGTTAATAGTGCAACCCTTGATCAGCGCCTTGTGTGGCGATGGGTTCAGGCTGCCCTTGGGGCGTCCCGGCGAATGCACTGCACCTATCGCTCGCACACCTATAGGCTCTAGCTTGGGCAGCGGCTTACTTGCAGGCGTAAGTTTTGGTTGCGGCGTCGTCGTCGGGGTAATTGCTGCATCGTAACCTAAACTGTCCAAGTCCAGGCCTTCATCATCGTCTTCATCGTCATCGCCAATGGCTGCGCGACCATAAACCTGCTGCGGCTCATCTGTAAGCAGTTCCGATTGCGGCGTCTCACACTTGGCGGCACCAATAGGCACCAAGGCAGGTGGCTCAGTTAGGCGCGCTGTTAAAGCTTTGGGCTTTCGTCCGGGCCTGAAAGTGCCAACAAATTGGGCCCGCGTGCAAATGTCACGCAATCGTATGTCCGTTGTATCAAAATCGGGCAAATCCTGCAAAAATGAAAAGTTATAGAGAACTATTCCCTATATTATTGTGTTTGTACTCACCGGCTCAGCGAGTTTTCTTCGCTTGTAGTCTCGAAGATACTTCTTAAAATTCTTATCGTTGAGCCGCGGTATCTTGGCCGCTTGCATAGTTCGTAAAACGTGCTCATCATCCACGCCATGGCGACGCTTGAAGAAGGTGCTGTAAATGCATTTTTTGTCGGCGGCATTCGAAGGTTTGGCCGCCAAAGCCCCTCCATTGCCCACCTCCACAGGCGCCCATTCCTGCTCAATGGCTGCCAGCTCTGCCGCCTTGATGGCATCTTCGTCCTGCTCATCGGCGCTAATATCATCGGGCTGCAGATCCAGCTCTTTTGTCAGCTCGTACAGCTCCAAACAGTATCGTTTACGCGCACGCTGAGCTAGAAACTTACTGTTCATTTGCAACGTTGGGGGCTTTCGTTTACGGGAGCGGGCTGAACGAGAATTGGAGTAGAGTGCGCTATCTGGGGGGGCTGTGTACACATTACGCAGCAGGTGCTCCCTCGATATAAAGAGTTCCTTAGCCAGTTGGCTCAGACGTTCGTATTGCTGAAACCGACGCTCCCGACGTTTGGAATGCTCAATGCTGCGACGCAACTGTAGGACATCGGGACGCAGACTACCATCCTCAAGCTGACGCTGTAAGACTTCTAAAGGGCCTTGACCAAAACGCTCAATGTCACCATTGAAGAGGTCGACAATCGTGCGCTGGAGCTCTTCGGCCGCCAAATCTGGCGTCAGAAGAGGCTCAAATTTTGGCAGCAGCGATACCAACTGAGCCTGCATGCTCTGTGGCAGCATATTCCAGGTCTCCAATGAAAAGAATTCATTGAAAATAGTGGCGCTTTCGCAAAGACCACGAGGTAAGCGAAACGTATGTTCATCCGTGAGCTGCGCCAGCTCCAACTCATTTGATTGCGTGGTGGTGGCATCATCGTCCGACTGCGAGCTGGTCTCATCATCATCGGAATTCGATGTAGACTCATTGTCGTCATCACTTAACGCGCTACTCGAACTTGAAGTTGAAGATTTTGTGCTGTTATTGTCGCTGTTGCTTCCACCACTGGCGCCGCCGCTGCAGTCACCGTCATTGATGTTGTAAGACTCGCTCAATTCCTCATCTTCGTCCGATTCCGGCGCATACGGCATAGACATGGACATGTTGTTATTCCTGGCGATGTTGTTGTTCATTGGTAGCAACGATTTTCACAGTTTTTCGCACTATTAGCACATGCAGCACTCAGTTATTTGCACACTGTGCGACTTTTTCTCTACACTAATTTATAATTTTGCCTCTTACGCCTCGTTATATCAAACATTTAGCTGCTTGTTTTCTTCTTTTGTTGGCAGCGCGCCTCATTGGCCATTCACAGTTAGACATTCGCTGTGGAGCGCCAACATCGCACATAACATCTGTGTGCGTGTGTGTGTGTGCGTGTGTATACCACCAAATAAATTTTTAGCGGCGACTTGACGACGACAACCACGACGTCGGCGCTTGCATTGTTTAATTAACTGCAATTTAATTAAACATCAGCGCTAAATGTAGTCAATATATAGTCGCTGCTTCCTGATTTGATTGAGAGCTATTGTAAACGCTGCTCTCGGGTAACAAAATGTACCGCAGGCAAGGATCCCAAGTAAAAAAACTGGGTAAGTGTAAGTCCAAATCGGTGTGTGTGAGTGTGTGTGTGCAATGTCTGTGAAAACGCGCGACGCTCACTTAAATGTGCAAAAATGTAAATTCGCTTAAAAATTAAGCATTAATACACTGAACAGAAATGCAATCAGAATACGAATTGAAGCCTTTAGGATTGGAAGTTTTTGTGAAATAATAAAAACGCCGACGCCAGCGTCAGCGAACATTGTGCAAAAAGTGATTGAAGAAGAAGCAGCAGTATCTTTAGCGGCAGTTCCTTATACTATGTATGTATGTACATACATACATATGTATGTACAAAAAATGCCGATTGGCAAAGCGTGTGTAGTAAGAAAAGGTTTAGTGCATTAAATGTTTTTTTTCTGCTTCCTCTACTTGCAGCATTCATTTAAGAATTAGAAGCGTCGCAAAGTACAAGCAAGTACACGCTGTTACCTATGGGAGAGGAGGGCACGGCAAAAAATGTCAAAGCTGCGACAAAAACAACAAGCCAGTCGGACACTGACACAACAGGCAACAAAACTAATGGCATTAGCAATGAAAATGGAGCAGCTCTAAGTGACGGATATAACGACGGCACCAAAGCTGATAAAAAGCCTGTATCCAAAATACGCATTGTGCCGCTAGAAAAATTGTTAGCCAAGCCGCAAAATAAGGAACTGAGGAGTCCCATAACTTCCTCCAAACTACTGTCTCGCCCCAGCACGGAGAAAAGAAGCGCTAGGTTACCGCCACGCCGGAGCAGAAACAAAAACGTCTCTATAATCGAACTGACCGACAGTGAAGTATCTGAAGAGGAGGAGCAGTCAGATCAGTCAGAGCAGCAACAGCAAGAGAAGCGACAGGAGTCAGTAATAAAGACAAAGACCGAACGCACAATTCGCAGCGATTCCAGCTCTGAGGAACTGTCGACAAAAGTGACAAAAAAACGAACAACGCGAGGCATAAATTCAAATCAGCCTGCGGCCAAGCGTAGATGCGAAGCTCGTTCCAACACAAGCACTAGCAGTAGTAGCGAGACCATTAATAGAAGAGGCCAAAATAACCGACAACTCAAGGTGCTGGGCGACAGCGAGGAAAGCTGCGGTGCGAGTGTAGTGGGCGATCACGGAAGTGCGCCAAAAAAGCTACGCCGCTGCGTGGTACGTGTGAAGCGCTTGAAACTTACGATTTCGACATCAAACAAAGAAACAAAGAATCACAAGGATAAGCATAGGCAGTGCTCGGCTACACCAGGTGCAATATCCGAGAGCAATAAAATGAGCACCGACGCTGAAACTGAGAAAGCTACGACCTCAACGTTAGCGGCTAAACGTCAGCGACGCAAAAAAAGCGATAGCAATGCAGAGGACAGTGACTATGAACAGGAGCACGAGGAGGAGCATCAGGCTGAGTCCGAGACAGATCAAAAATCCGATGCTGATCCAGACCACGACGAAGATGCCAATAGTAGTGGGAGTGAGGTAATGCCGCAGCGCAAGAAGCGCAACTTTACAGGCAAATCAAAGAAAAATAGCGATGCCGAGTCCAATAACTCCTCGGATTTTGAGCCAGATGAAAAGAAAAAAAAGAAACGTAAGCGAATCAAAAAAAATTCGAGTGACGAAAGCGACGGTGATGGCGATGAGAAGAATAAAAATAAACGTAAACACATACGCAAAATTATCAAGACCAAGGATTTGGATGTAAGCACTAAGGAAGCGGCTAAAGAAGAGGAAGAGCGCCGCAAACGCATCGAGGAACGCCAAAAGTTATATAATCGCATATTTGAAAAGTCGGAGAGTGTGGAAATCAACGAATTGGTGCTGGACTTCGATGAGGAATCACAGAAGACATTGCTCCAAGTAGACAAGGGACTGCTAAAGAAGCTCAAGCCACATCAAGTGGCTGGCGTTAAGTTTATGTGGGATGCATGCTTTGAAACCATAAAGGATATTGAGGAGAAGCCCGGATCGGGCTGCATCTTGGCCCATTGCATGGGACTGGGCAAGACGCTGCAGGTCGTGACTCTCACCCATACGCTGCTCTCCAACACGCGACGAACGGGCGTGGAGCGTGTGCTCGTCATCTCTCCTCTGAGCACTGTAAACAATTGGGCGCGTGAGTTCGTCCATTGGATGGCTTTTGCACATAAACGCGATATTGAGGTCTACGACATTTCACGTTATAAGGACAAACCAACGCGTATCTTCAAGCTGAACGAGTGGTTCGAGGAGGGCGGCGTTTGCATCCTCGGCTATGATATGTACCGTATACTGGCCAATGAGAAGGCCAAGGGCTTGCGTAAAAAACAGCGAGAACAGCTGCAACAGGCACTTGTCGATCCTGGCCCTGATTTGGTCGTCTGCGATGAGGGCCATCTGTTGAAGAACGAGAAGACCTCGATCAGCAAGGCCGTTACACGCATGCGGACCAAGCGGCGTGTCGTGCTCACGGGCACCCCACTTCAAAATAATCTCAAAGAATGTAAGTAAAAGTAATTACCTTTTGATGTCCGTATGAGAACTTATCGACATCTTGATTTTTACATGCTCTTAGTTCTAAGTAATTCTTTTCTTGAATTATTCCCATATAAACCTTGATTACTCTTCACAGATTATTGTATGATTCAGTTCGTCAAGCCAAATTTGCTAGGCACTTACAAGGAGTATATGAACCGGTTTGTCAATCCCATTAGCAATGGCCAATATACAGACTCCACAGAACGTGATTTGCGTTTAATGAAGCATCGCTCGCACATTTTGCACAAACTTCTCGAAGGTTGCATTCAGCGACGTGACTACTCTGTGCTCGCACCCTATTTGCCACCCAAGCACGAGTATGTGGTGTATACCACTCTTTCGGACCTGCAGCAAACACTTTATGAATACTACATGACCACGTATCGAGATCAGAGCAGCTCAGACATTTGCGGCAAGGGTGCGCGTCTGTTCCAGGACTTTCAGGACTTGCGTCGAATTTGGACGCATCCAATGAATCTGCGAGTTAACAGCGATAATGTCATCGCAAAGCGACTGCTGAGCAACGATGATTCCGATTTGGAAGGTTTCATATGTGATGAAACCGATGAAGAAGAGGCCGCATCCAACTCAACGGACAGCAGCAGTGAATCCTTTAAATCATCGGCAAGCAATTCACTTGCCATTGCAGGTGGTAGCAAAATGAAGAAGCGAAAGACTCGCAATGGCACTCGTTCCGGTGTTATAGACAGTGATTCGGATATGGAAATGCAGATCGGTGCTGGTGGATCCAATGCCCAAAAGGACGATCCCTCCGAATGGTGGAAGCCATTCGTCGAGGAGAAGGAACTGAACAACATAAATCATTCCCCAAAGCTGCTAATCCTAATGCGATTGTTGCAGCAGTGCGAAGCAATTGGTGATAAACTATTGGTCTTCTCACAATCACTGCAGTCGCTCGATGTTATTGAGCATTTTCTCTCACTGGTAGATAGCAACACTAAAGGCTATGAGTACGAGGGTGAGTATGAATACGAATATTATAAGAGGGATAATCTGATATAAGCCCATTTCAGGAGATGTATGCAATTGCAAGGGTTGCTGGTCACCTGGCGAGGACTATTTTCGTTTGGACGGATCCTGCTCAGTGGAACAACGCGAGGCCATGTGCAAGAAGTTCAACAATCCCACCAACTTGCGGGCTCGTCTGTTTCTGATATCAACGCGCGCCGGCGGTTTGGGCATAAATCTTGTGGCTGCCAATCGTGTGGTCATTTTCGATGTCTCCTGGAATCCCTCACACGATACGCAAAGTATATTTCGTGTGTATCGCTTTGGTCAGGTCAAGCCCTGCTATATTTATCGACTAATAGCAATGGGCACCATGGAGCAGAAAGTGTACGACCGCCAAGTGGCCAAACAGGCCACAGCCAAGCGTGTAATTGATGAACAGCAGATTTCAAGGCATTACAATCAAACGGATTTAATGGAGCTTTACTCATACGAGCTGAAGCCGAGCGTCGAACGAGAAATGCCCATTCTGCCGAAGGATCGATTGTTCGCCGAGCTCTTGACCGAGCACGAGAAGCTAATATTTAAATATCATGAACACGACTCATTGCTGGAGCAAGAGGAGCATGAGAACCTAACGGAGGAGGAGCGCAAATCGGCCTGGGCTGAATACGAGGCGGAAAAGACGCGCACTGTGCAAACGTCACAATATATGAGCTATGATCGCGGTGCCTTTGGAGCCCAGGTGGTGGCCAATCAGTTTGGCAATGCATCGGGCAGTGTCACATCGAACAAGATTTTCGGTTTCCGCTCGGACATTTTGCTGCAATTGCTGAACATGAAGATTTCCAAAGATCACCCAGAGCTAACGCAGAACCAGGTCATCCAATTGGTGCCTAGCTATTTGCAGCAACTTTACAATGAGATGAATAATGGTGATCCTACCATGTACAAGGACTTACTTCAACTACATGCGAACATTGTGCATCCTAGTGGCATGTATATGAACCCATTGCTATATGCCAATCAAAATCCATCGGCTGCGGGCTATCAACAGGGCTCAGCTATGGCCACAGGAGCGGTTCAGCAAGTGCCACCAGCGTCCAATCCCAATGCGCCAGGCTTTGAGGCGGACAAGGTATACGAGATTGATTAGAACGCTGCCATGGCTGGCGTACGCTTCATCATTTTCAACAATTATTATTATGATTATTTCATTTTGAATTTAAAACGTAGTTAATTGACGACGATACTTGTACGTTGGCAACATTGATCGCCGCGTATCCTTTACCTAAAATTAATATCATTTACTTATGTTTTTTTATATGTAGCCAAGCGATAAGTTTATAGTTTCTACATCAATTAAGTTCAAAACTGTCCTAACACATATTATGAGATATATAGATACAGTAGCTATATATGGGCCCTCTATATGAAATTCGACATTATTTATAGTACGCAAAAACATAAATTAAAACGAACTTAATAATAAATGGCACAGATAATGATAAACCTAAACGGAGCTGTTACAATATATATTTATCATTTATTTATTAACCTTAAACTACAATAGAAAAAGTTGATAATATTCCTCTTAAATTACTTGGGTTTGTTCATCATGCGTAGCTGCTGCATTTGCTGTGCCTGCAACAAGTGCTGTTGTCCAGGCGGCAGTTGGGACACCGGCTGCATCATGCGTGGTGGCATTGGAGGTCCGCTCATTGAGGGTCCAGGCATCATTGGCGGCGTGGGCCGATTGTGGACACCCTGCTGTATATCTGACAGGCAGGCCTTCCACTCCTCCAAGCGATTGTAGTGCTTTTGCAAAAGCGCGTCCTTGCGTTGTATTTCAATGCTCAGATCCTGGTTCTCGTCTTTGATGAGCATGTACGGCTTGAGTGTGGAGACAAGAAAGCGCTTTTGCAAGAAAAATGCCTCCATCTGGCGCGCCACATCAATAAAGCGGTTTGTCGTCTTTTGAACTTCCAGTTCAATTTCCTCCTTGTTTGTTCCAGAATTGGGTTCTTGCTTGGTCAGCGAAAGAAGGCATGCCTGAAAAGCTTCTTCGAATTCGTCCATAAGGTTGCCACCGCCGGTTTCATTGTTAGGTGTAGACATTCTTGAATATACTCTTAATATTTAACTAATTATATTCATTCGCCGATTTAACTTGAAGAAAGCCAATTTCGTTCGTGAATAAAAAGTGCTACCAAACTGCCCTAAAATGTAGCTATTTACATTTTGCATGGTTATTGTTGAATGTCTGGCAGCATTCTAGTGTTGGTAATGATGTTGTTAAGCAGCTGATTAAAATATGCGCTCATATGTAATTGGCAGAGCAACAGAAAAATGTCCGTAATTGCCATAAAACGCACGCTGCATATCCTTCACACATGCATGCGTGCTCGAGTACCACGAAAAGCCAATCCTGGCATTGGCTACCAATTGCAACAGGTAGAGCCCGAGGACGCCACTGAAGATTACGGCGAGTTTGAGTCTGACTTTATGTCCGTCAATCAAAGCCATCGTCAGCATGAGGCGCAACTGCGAAGTGAACGTGATCGGGTGCGTCAGTTTATGATTAAACACAAATACTTTCGCGATGCCAAGCTGCCTAATTTGCTGCTGCACGCGGAGAAGGAACAAATGCGTCTGCTGCACGAGCGCGATCCCGAGGAATGGAGCGTGGAGCGCCTGGCCGAGAGTTTTCCAGCGACACCGGAAATTGTGAAAAAAGTGCTGCGCGCCAAGTGGCGACCACAGAATTTTCAAAGGATACGGGCCCACGACGAATCCGTTATACGGAATTGGGCGGATATGCGGGCGGGAAAATGTGACGTAAACATACCGCCAGCTTTAATGGAACATCTGCGAAAGTTTGGCGCTCGCAAATGGGCGGACCTGAAACAAATGTCACCGAAACAGTGGCCCACACGTCCGGAGCTCCCCATGCCACAAACAAATGAGTTTCGTGCGCTAGTCAGCGGTGGCAAGCAAGATTCGTTTACTACCAGTCCAGCACCGCAGTTGACATCGGGTGCCCCATCATCGCCTGTGCCTCCATCTGCAGCTGAAGAAGAAACCTATTTGCTAGACAAGGTGCGCATTAGGAAAAATATGCGACTACAAGAGCTTAAGGACCTCGTCCCACACATAAACCAAATTGACATCACAGAGCAGGCGGCCCAAACGTTAAAAAACCCCAGTGGCACCGGCAAATTACCCAGCTTTGTTGACAAGTTCCAGACCACAGAGATTGCGATCAGTGCAGCAGATCAGCAACGGTACGAGATAAGCCGTATAAAGGATCGTATTGTTATACCCAGGAAGTTACATCGTAATGGTGCCACCTATCGCGTGAAGGATGCATATTACGACGACGATGGCGAATTCCTATACAGAGTGCCCGGCATGACCGGCAGCAATCCTTTCACCTGAAACAACAACAAGAATCGCATTGTACTTTAAGCCTTTTATTAGCAAAAGATAAAAAATACGCATTACAAAATACACGCATCCAAAAAACTAAGAGCTACATGAAAATGTCATTTTGTGCAATCCCTGTTTTTTCGCCGATTCATTTAGGAAAGGCGTTTGCGATTAGATCACTGCCTGCAAAAAGAGTATCGGAGGCCACAGTGATCTGTGCACCCATTAGCTTTGATACGAAATCACAGGCGCCAACTTCGGCATAGGTCGAGCCGCCAACGACGAAAACAAATAAATTACGCAGGCGCAACGGCAAAAGATCCGTTTGAGATTTGCAGCTGTGGGACTTAAATTGCGTGGCATAGGCCTTCGGTGTTAGGGGCGGAGATTTGTTTAGATGGAGCTGCACGCCCTCCACCATCGATAGCTTGTTGGCAAGCTCATCGGCGCTGTTTGACTTTAGGAGAATGGAGCAGAACTGGGCCACTAGCGGGATGTAAGTGCCATTGAAGACGAAGCTGGGGCATGCCTGCTGTGAAGCTTGTTTGCTTTCTGCGTGCCCATCGGCACCATCAATATCACCATCAGCACAGGACACCAACAATTTGAGACGATTGGCGTTTGCTTGGAACTCGGTCTGCTTAAATTTGGGCAGTGGCAGATTGGACAGCAGCTTGGTGGGCGCCCTCTGCCCTTTATCCTTATCTGGCAGAAGCGGAGGCAGCAGCCCAGCCTGTGCCAGTTGCTGGAACACAACCAACTCCTGGTGGCCAAAGAGATTGCAATAGTTTCGGGCAAATGTTTGCAGCTCTTCTGGAAGAATGCCGGCGCATAAATGCAGCAGGCATAGTAGGCGCAATGTGTTAAATCGTTGTCCATCCGTGATCAACAGCTCATCTATTTCGGATAGCAGCCGCTTGCGCGACACATTGTTCAGAATGTCCTCCTCTAAAGATTGCACCTTGCGAAAATTGCCTGCGAGCATTTCGATTACAATTTCGCTTGCATTCAAGTGGCGCAGCACCTTAGCCTTCATTTCGGTTATTTTGGGCAGCTTGCGGGCCACATAGTCGTGCATTTCGTCCAGCTTCATGTCACTAAGCTTTTGCACCTCCAGGCCCAGGGCTTTGGCTTGCGCCCGGACCAAGCTGCTGGCCTGGGAGAAGTGCTTATATCTATTGTCCCCGTAGATTTCATCACAGGCGGAATTCATACGTATGCTGCTTGCCTTGGCCGGTGCTGCAGTGGATCCAGTTGATTCGGTTTTGAGATCTAGCACCTGCAGCTTTTGACTTCGTATTTTATTCGTTGTATTATCGATGATAATTTCGCCGGCCCGTTGTTGAAACACCTCCAAGAGCAGGCCGGAGTAGATGGCGGGCGTTAATAAACTGGAGGCATAATCCTTGTCCCGATCCACAATTATTATGGCGCCAATTTCTGATTTTGCGGGACTTGGCCAATCGCCCAGTGTCTGTAGCATTTTAAGCAGCTGTGTCGAGTGGTTGCCAAAGGTGACCACAAGTTCCGGACGACCACAAAGGATTTGAAGAATGCGAAGGCTCTGCGCCAGGGCAGGCAGCGGTGAGGTATTCTGTTGCAGGTACAAGCACTCGAAGACATTGGGCAGCTCCATGCTTAGCACGCCCTGGTCCAGATATATGAAATCCCAGTTGTAATGATGCAGTTGTACTAAGCCCCAAAGTCCAGACTGTTCCAGTAACGTTTGAAAATATGCATAGCAGCTGGGCACGCAGATAATGTGGTACGCTGTTACTTGAATTGATGTTTCAGCATCATTTCTTCCGTACATTTTCAGCACATCTGATGCCACATCAGTGGGCGTGGCCGTGGCCTGCAGTTGGCTGAGCAGCGCTTGAAACGTGCTCAGTGTGCTGCGAATCATATAGATGTGCACTTGGTCATCGACTCGTGGGATGCACTGCTTGGCATCGTGCTTATAGATGCGCTGAATGCCCTTTAATCTGTAACACACCCTTTTATAATACATGAAGAATACGGGGATGCAGATATACTCACTTTAACCAGGATGCTGTGCATACGTGTTCAAGCGGTTTTATTAGCGCCGGCTCAAGAATGAGCTCCTTCTTTCCCGGTATGGAGCATAGTATGGCCTGCAGCTTTTCTTGCGCAATTAATTGGAAACCCTGCAGCTTCTTATCCAGCGTTAATGTCAAATCCATTCCTTCCTCGCCCACAATCCACAATAAACAAAATCAGCTGTGCCACTCAGCAGAAAATACTGAAATGGTGAATGCAAAGCAGGTTGGCAGGACTGACCAGTCGTTCAATTCCTGATGGGCAGCAGCAGCGCCAGCTGAGTTTCAGTTACTCGCCGTAGTTCGCCGCGACTGGTTGTGCAAAGTTTGGAGTGTGTTTGCACGCAAGAATTTTTGCGAATCGTCGTGTTTCTGTTATTATTTACAACATATTTTTTGCACGCGTCGCTGTCTCTGTCGTCGTCATCATCAATATCAACGTTGTCTACTTTTATCTGTATGTGTGTGCATGAGTGTGCGCGTTTCTTAATATATGCAAATCAATTGGGAAATTAAATGCTTTTAAGTTCAATTCGGTAAAAGTATAATTGCGAGACGACACAAAACCACAACAACGACTAGTTCGTATATGTACGTCTACGTCCACCTTGAAATAGAGAGCGCACCGCATAATTTTCATAATATACAGGAGAACGTGTCTACGTTACGACAACAAATATTAAAAAATCCGCGAAAAAATTCCAAAGCGCTCGGCGCTTAGCATGAAAATCTGTGAAAATCCACAACCCCACGCAGTAAAACAAAACAGGCACAAGCAGCTGTAATAAAAGTAAAAAGTGTACAAGTGTTTAATGCCGCCCATTCTGCGGATGCGTTCGTTTGTTTGGTTGCGATTGTGAACGTCCCATTGTACTTAAGTTTATGTTTATGTGTGCGTGCGTGCGTGCGTGTGTGTGTGTGCATGTTTTTATGTTAGACTGTTCGTTCTTTTGAAATTCTATAAAATAAATTAAATAATTCTCTCATTGGCCAGCCAGCTCAAGCAACAATAATAAGCGAAGATTACCAAAACCAAATACGTAAACAAATAAAAAAAAGAAATCAATGCGGCAAATTTACAAACAATAAAGTAAAAAAGCGCAGACGTATCGCTATTCACAGTTAGCCACAAGGTGAGTGAGTATTTTGAAATATTGGATATTGGTATTTGAAAACAACAACAGCTCGGCAGAAGCAGAAAGTGCTCTCGCCCTGTTTGCACTTTTACTTTTTCACCAAATATTTGGCACACACACAGACACTTCCATTTGAAATGCGGCCGTTGAAATGCATCAAATATTTTCGCTAATGAGTAAAAATACTTAAGTAAAAAAGCCATTTCATTTGCGTATTATTCATTTCGAATCTCCCATTCCCTGCACTGAGAGAGTGAGTGGGAGCCGCTTGTTGCATGCAACAACTCAAGTGTTGTCGCCCAGTCAGGTCTGTTTTATTTTCATTTTGCGTCGTCGTTGCCGTCGCCGTTGCCGTCACCGTCTTCGTTGTCTCGACGTCATCGTTAGGCATTCGCCGTTTGCCGTTGCTTGAACCTGTCAGCATGTTTTTCTTTTGCTTGCACATTGTTGCATTTTTTGTTGTTGTTTTCGCCCCCTTGGCTCATCATTATCATTGCCTGCGTGATTCTGCTGCTGCCGCTGCCGCTGCAGTTGCTGTTGTTGCTTTTGGCATGCGGCGCGCCATTTCATTATGCAGCTACATACATGTACATATGCATACATACATATATAGTACATTATTTCGTATGTGGTATGTAGAAGGCTTGCTGTTGTTGTTCCTGTTGTCTTCTCACTGCGCTTCACATACTTTTCTGCCGTTTGTTTGTTTGTTTGTTTGCTTCTCATACCGGTTTTCAGAGACAATCACAACAACACCACGGCAGCAGCAGCAGCACCACCACCACCACCACCAACAACAACAACAAAAACTCCAACGAGTTGTACAGGTAGTTGTGTGCGTAGTTTACTTTTAGATTTCCTCTCAGTGCTTCTGTTTGTGTGCGTATCACTCCGATTTTTATTTTAGGCCTTCTTCGCTTTTCCCTAATTAGTATTTGTTTGATTTCTTTCTCTTCCATCAACATTTTCTTGCAGGTTGTTCCCGAAGCGGTTCTTGCAGCTGTTAAAAGATAATTTTGTGACGATTTTTACTTAATTAATTAATCGAATACGAAGCTGCTGTCGCAAATTTTTATTGTTTTTTTAGTTGTTGTCAAGGCTTTTAAACTTTGTTAACGGGTTTGAAAGCTCATGGGCTTTGTGTGGTGTTTTTTTATTTAACGTATTCTTACTTGGATAATTTTAAGCGAGTTCAAAGAACTTGTTTGTAAGTATTCAGGGGGAATGAAAAATCTTGTTTATCTCGATTCTGTGTCGAATGAAAGGTGCAATTTATTTAATTTATATTCCAATTTTAATTAAAATTTTTTTAAAAGTACGAATCGCATTCAATTTGCTTGAACACCTCTGTTATAACCTGTGATTGTTTCGTTCTTAGATCCCAAGACCATGTAACATATTTTTTCAAACGATCATCATTTGCTTACAATCTCTTTGCCTCTCCAGCAGGCAGATCATTTGTCAAACATCCAATTGGACCTAGCCATAAATCTTTTAGACAACACTACCACGATCAGAAGACTGAGGAAACTTCCCCCATTACACTTGCTCTTTAGAACATTAAATTAACCATCTATCCGCCCCTCTATCTGTCATTACATTGCTAAAAACCATTGTTATATGATATACATAGTACACATTATTTTAAAATCTAACATCAAATTGTTCTTTACTTTTAAAATTTTATGGTTGTTCTCTTGAGGACACATTTTCAAAAAAGATCACAAAATAAAATTGTATAGGTGTGAGAGAAATATAATCAGGGTTTTAAAAAGTCTTTGTATGAACATACATACCTGAAGCAGAGGTACTCGTACATTTAGAAGTGTATATAAGTTGCTTTCTGGTAAAGGTTTTACAGGGGTGCCACAAAAATCTCTTCCGCCCAAGTTTCGCCTTAAAAAAAAGATTTGTTTAATAACACTAACAAAGACATTTATTCACATACAAAAAAACAATGTGTTATAAACCTTACGGTTTTTCTGAACAATCGCATCAAAAATATTTTGTATATCCTCTGTAAATATCATTAAATTACCAAATTACTTAATCTCTTGTTAAAACAGTAGCATTCACACACAGCATCCAAAACAACTGAATAATAGAGAGGCCCACTGGGCCCAAATAGAAAATGATATATTTCGAACATCACATTGTGAATGTGAATTGCATAGCTTGACGGAAAATAACTTTAAATATTATGTTGGTGTTTAATTATCAAACTCTTTAATAATATTTTAAGTTGTGTAGCTAATTTACTAAAATTGCGAAAAGGAAAAAAGGGGGAAGTTCAAATAAATGAAATCTTTCAAAGTTCTGTGGCAGCGACGGTTTTTTTTTAGATTTCAAAAACAATTACATCCGAAATCTCAGGAGTTTATTTATTTCTTCTGATAATAACTGTTTAATTAGAACTAAACATTTTGAAGTGTTTTTGGATAGTTTAAGATATTTACTTATAGATGTTTATTTATTTACTATAAGATGTGTGTTTAGTATCTTTTTATATTTAGCATCTTCAAAATCTTCATGCATTTGTGAAGGTGCGCTCTAAGAAAAATTAATTGGTTCTTTTTTCTGCTATCAGCATACGAATCTTGATGTCTCTCTAGCTTTCGCCCACACGTTAGATGATTTTACTGGGATATAGATACTATAGCTTCAGTTAGGACTTTGGTGAATTGGATGTGAATAATAAGCGAGTGAAAAAGGAACTTACACATTAATTATGGAACTTCAAGTTAATTTGTACATCAGTGAGTCGGTCAAGTTTAAATTTAAGTTTAAGATATCTAACAGCTTTCGAACATTAGAACATGGTTGGTGGATAGTGAAATTCATAAAGGACGGGGCAACCTTTAGTACCTTCAGACAAATTTTCCTAGTCGAAATGAATCATCACATATTTTAAATGGGTGCTGCATAGTGTTAGCTACTCGTAGTGTATACAAATACTTTCTACTGCGTGGTTCTCCCATAATTAATTTTATTTACGTTTCCCAACCTTAATTTCACTAAAAAATCACCGTTTCAATTTGATTATATAAACTTTGGCATTCCTATTCATCAAACATTTGTTCATATAGTTTTACATCTTTCGATGTCTTTTCTTTAAATGCGTCAACAGTATTCCATATGATTTATTTAATAAATAAATACTGAAATCTAACTTATGTATATCTAACTAACTCTTGTATTTGATTTGGTTAAATGCTTAAGAAATAGTCTAGAACTTCTGCCTACCGACGCAAAGCTAAAAATAAACAATTTGTTTTCTCTTTTGTTGCTATTGTTGTGATGATAAACAAAACTTTTGCACAAAATGCCAAAACGAGAGCCAGAAAAAATTTGAAGCGAATTTCCAGCCTTTGGCAGACAAAGGTGATGGTGGCGGAGGGCGTGTGAACTTTGTATGCCTTTTATCCGAGTCTATTACCATCTGCGCATATCAAACTCAATTAGTATTGTTATAGAAACATACTAGTTATATACACATGTATATGTATGTAAGTATGTATGAGCACACAATATGTCTGTATTGTGCCGCATTTAGCAAATGTTTGCCTTTGCATTTGTTGAATTTTTATCTAAATTTATTTAGTGGTTTTCCTTCCAACTGTGGGCGCCTTTTCGCACATACCCTCAGCTATTTTCGTATAAGTTTAACATTTCTGCTTCTCATCACTGTCACACAGACACAGACACATCCATAGACACAGACAGAGACAGAGACAGAGGCACAATGTGTTTAATATGTTTATAATTGGACATGATTTATGTGTACATATGTACTTACTTGTATGAATGTATATAGATATAAGTGAATGTGCGTACATATATACACGTGCTCAATGGCTTGGGCTCCCTTGACTCTCCACTCAATTGGTCGCTTTGGCAACCGCGAAAGCTACCGCACATCACGATTAATTCTCTCAAGTCAATGTACTTAGCTCTGTTGTTTGGAATGTGTGCGAGAGTGTTTCTCATAAAGTTGCCTCTTTAAGCCCCTTTCATTCATTACGCATTTCACTTTTGCATAACCCCCCAGCTGCCTCAAAAGTTCTCTGTTTATCTGTCTATGTACGAATGTATGTTGTATCTTATCTTTTAGCTGTTGGCCAAAGTCTCTCGAAGACTTTTGTGTTGCGTGCTGCCAAGCAACTAACTCATCTTTCATTTGGCGCTTAATTTATGTTGCCGCCATAAGTCATGTTTATTATTATGAGAAAATTTTACAAATATACCATGCTCCGGATGTACATACATATGTACAGCTATGTTGATGCTGCAGGAATGAAAAGAATTTTCAGACAGAATTTTGAAGATGAAAAGCAAAGATACAACAAATCGTAAAACTGATTTACTGCGTTAAGGTTTATAAGCGCCATGCTAACCAATGCAGGACTGATTGGTTAGCCTTCGAACGAACTGTAAGAAAGGCAAGTCCAATCAATATCGATATCTGTGTTCGGCTATCTGTCCGTCGCAGCGTATGAACGGCCAAAACAAAGAATTTAGAAAACCTTATGATTTAAGCCAATTATATTTATTATAATTATTTTTTTCAGAAGTCTTCAAAGATACTCAAAAAAACTCAGCAAAGCAAAAATAAAAGTTACTTAAGAAACTTGATTGATAAGGCAATTTCTAATGTTTGAAGCTAAGTAAGTGAACCAAGTTGTATATGGTGTGTTTTTTATTATTATTAGGAGATGGAATACCTGTTTTAAGCTGCAAAAGGGGGTCTGTTCAAAGGTAATGGAACCCTATTACAGCCTGTCTAAGGTGGAGCTTCACAGTCTACCGGTACTGATATAGCATAATGAAACATAATGAAACAAGCAGAGAAGGTGGAACGTGTCATATATGTAGATATCATAGGAACTATCGATTAATTTTCTTAAATTATACGTTCCGTTTTTTTACAAAAGCCAAATCTTTTTAAAATGGGATAACCATATGTTTAAATGAAATAATTTGCTGCATTTGTTAGATAG